AAAATCACTAAAAACATACACTGCACCCCGAGCTAACGAATATACGCTAGAATATTACGATCATAACATCATCCGAACTAACCAAGATCAATTTTTAGATGATGATCGCTTCGCTAACCCACAAATCACAGAAAAATTTTTCATCAAAACACCATATGTATTTACACTCAATATATTTGATCGTAAATTCGATCACATCATTTCTGAAGCACTAACCGACACACAATCTTACGAAAGTTTTAAAGAAAAATTTCAATTATTTTCACTAACCTTTCATTTCCTTGCACCACATGAAAGAGATTTGCACTGCTCACACGATATTATGTTACGCACTAAACAAACCCACACATATACATATTATCGCTTCATACAAAATCACTTTGACCTACACACTCCATCAAGACAACCACACCATCGTTTTCAATTTATTAACTCTAAATACACATCACCATTTTTTCTTAACTTCACATATTGCATCAAAGATACTAACCTTCACGGTATTCTTCGCAATTATGATCCCATAACCCAAATGTATATTTTTTGTCCCATCACAAAGACCTTCAACGCAGAAGAATCCAGACCCTTCCTTATCCCACATGAATTTGTTCAACCTATAGAAATCCCCATATTAGAATTCATCCACAACACTAAATATAACCACAAATTATATAATCTCATCCAAAACACACCTTATGAGTTTTCAGCTGGCACTGAAGAACTAAAAACCATTAAAGCACTTCAATTGCTTTGGCCACTGCTTCAAACTAAAAACATCATTCGCATACTAGCAAAGTTACTAACAAATTCCGACATAATCCACGACATCTTCCCCCACGGTTTTTTCCCCGACGACTAACAGGTAAGTATAATTTATATATATTCTAAACTAATAAATTTAAAATAAAAAACTAACCATTCTTTATCCATGTCTCATTTTGATTTTTAGTCTTCATCTCACGATTATCTGCAAAATACACAAAAGAAAAATAAAAAATAGAAAACTTCTTCAAATTGTTCAAAACTCTAATAATCTTTTGCACCAGCTAAATTAAATAAAGTTCATACAAATGTAGTAAATTAATTTATAAATTATTTCCCTAAAAAGCAGTAATTCTAATAATGATGAAAATTTGTAACTTAATTTTTCCCCAAAACTAGCAGTAAAATTGAAATTCTATGTAGTAAATTGATAAAACGCAAATGCAGTACTAACCTTTTGATATTTTCATTCACTCGCACAAAGAATTCTATCCAAACTCGCACAGCGCGCCCACGAAGAATTGTTTAAATAATGAATTTCAGTTTTAAGTTTTCACACTCAACAACTATAACACACGATAACAAGTTTCAAACTTTCCTTTAACCCGGTTGGAAAGGAATTATATACTAAACAAAACTAACCAATGCAGCTTACTAAACACCACAACACATAGAATAACAGCATGACTAAGAAAAGGAAACCAACGGTACCCAAACCGGATTAACCCAGTTTAAAACTGGATAATTTATTCTTTTGAAGACTATTATAAAGTCTAAGAAAGAAATAATAAAACACAAAAAATCGAAAGACAAACCCATACCAAAAACAATTTGATTTTTGAAAAAAGGACACAACCAACGAAACATAAGAAAAACCACAATAAACTCAACATAAAACGTTATCACATAACAGGACCTCTCACAGAAACCGCACGAAATCATACTCCCACTCCTGGCCTAACCCACCAGAGAGGACGTCCTGAGCATGCTCTATAGCCGGCCTAACCCACCGCGCTACATCCACGCTTTGTGACCACACTTCTATTTTTAATAAGAGGTACTCAAGGGTGAGTAACTCTTCAAAATAACTGAACTAAAACAAAAAGATTTTGTGAAAACAACTAACCAAAATCATAATTAAAACACCAAACTAATAAAAATTTTATAAAATGTAAATTATATCTTGCAGTATATAGATCAGCATACAACACCAAATACGAACATCCAAAGACAAAATGAATCCACTACACTCGAAAAAGAATGGCCAACCACAATTAATATGCCGCCCACAATCACAACTCAAAGGATTTAGAGTACGACTTGACTTTGCAGAAAAGGACTTCATTGAACTAGAACAATGACCACCTCGATGTTCAAGTATACGTACAGATCCGAGTAACCAGGCATCCCCTCCACGCACAATCTCCACGCCATTCCCAGACAAGGTCAAGCCAAAAGAAGTTCTCTACAAGAAACGAAAAAACCTGTCATAGCCAACCATTCTGAAATCAGATTTGAGTTTGTTGCGAAAATCCAGTCGTTGTCATGAGAAGACACAACGATTGAACCTGGAACTTCTCTAACAAGAGAACCCAGACGAAATATGATGTTCGCCAAAAACCAACGTTCATCATCCATCCTTTGAATTGCAGAAAGACTATTCTAAAAAACTCTGTAAAACCCGGATGGGTGGAACCTGATCTAAACTACATTTTATGATTGGATAAATTAGATATTTTACCACTGTAAAGTATTTAATATTAACCAATCATGATCCATCTAACTAACAACCCACTTATTTGTAAGTTTTAGAATTACTTGTAATTTCAGCACCAGAGAGATTTGAATTTAACTTAGAAATTAGTTGACTCTCCAAGAAGACTTCAGCAGCCGCAATAAACCAGTATACCCTAGATCTATTGAGCCTAGCAGAGACTAGTTAAACAACCTGAGACTAGATAGTATAAGAGTAAGATTAGGATCGGTATTAGACTAAGAAGTTGCACGAATCTATCCGGCCGAAAATAAGATAGCGTGACGAGCAGACGGTGTACCCTATCCGAAATTACTCTATGAGTTAACCACCTCGGTTATAACTCATTATGATATTTTTAAGGTAAAAGTATCTCATTTTTTTTGAGTGTGAGACCTGTCGGCATGTGAACCTGTCGGCAGGTTGTTTATTCGAATAAGGGGAGTTTTTATCCCTTTCTGACGGTATAGCACAGTTAAGAAGAACTATTATAGAAATTGTTTTTGATCTGATAACTGTGAAATAACATTTTTTCTTTGGCTGTATTACAGGTGTTGGGTTGATTATATTCGAGTCATACTGGCAATTAATCTGGCAAAAATCCGGCAAAAACGATCCCAGTAGTTGTTGCTCGAGGAACACGAAATGATTGTTATGATTTTTGGTTTTATAAAATTTTCTATACCATGAACCATTTTTCCATGAAACATGATACCAACGAGTTCCGAACCAACTTATCGAAACATCTCAACATTTCAAAGTTTTAGAGGTTCATGTGCAAAAAAAAGTCCAGTAAATTTAAATCAAATGGTAAATTTTCTAATTCTCGCTGGAATTTTACAAAAATCAATCACCGTGGTCGGTGTAAAATGCTGATTATACTTTTCCATTTTTACTATTTAATTAAATACCAAGATTTAAATCTCAAATAGCAAAAAGGCACACTTCTTGTGAGGCAATTCTAAATCTTACAATCGCAGTAATGCCTATTACTTCTTTATGTCGTCTGGTTGTAACAACATCCTAGTATATACTAACAAAGCTCTTCTAATTCCCTAAACCGATTTTCAACATTTAATTATTTAAGGACGTCATTGCGGCATCATGAAAATCGCATAATTTTCACAAGAAACCTGAATTTATTTTTTTTGTGTATTAACTCAGTTTAATTTTTTAAATGAGCTGATATGTTATTAGTTGATCGCCGCTTAAAGCTGTTCTATGCTACCATCAGTCATAAATTCATTAACACCGATGAAATTTTTTTTACCAACAAAAACAAATCATTAATCAAGTTCCAATATGCAAGTGGATTACACTTGCAAAATTTCCGTGGATTTTGTATACAAATACATGTAACGTGAATTTTGCCGGCAAATTTGTTTTGTCACGGGTTCCGCAACAAGCAAAAATAGCTAGTTGTCCTGAACTCCGCAACTGTGAGCAGATTCCGCAAATTAAATGTGAAATCTCAGAATCTAAGAGGAAGCCGCTTTTTTGTTTGTTACTGTACTAAGCCAGCTGTTGCATATGAACATTTCAAAAGCAAGAGCTAAAATTATTATCTAGCAATGGGGAATTTGAAATTGAGGACTTAACCATTTGCAGCAAAATCCATGAACAAATTTTAAAACAATGGTTTACTGAATCGGTGAATTTCAATCTTAAGTATTTAGGGATCTTTCCCAGCAAGCAAAATTTTCGCGATCGATTTGATATCATCAATAAAATCATTATATCGGATTATATTGGGATCAGAGTGATTTCAAATCATCAGTATTTGATTTTAGAAAATTAAGGTGAGAGGTAGAATGAGGTGGAAAGAATAAGGATCAAAGGAATTGACAGGAATTGAGATCGAAGTTGTGTGTAAAGCAAGAATTGAGATCGAACTTGGCAAGATTGAAATTGGGTGTAAAATTGAGGCAGGAAATAAGATCAAAACTGGTGGTAAATTGGCAGTAATTGATATCAAAAATTTGGTATTTTAACTAGTAGCTCAACTGTTAGCATTAATTGAGATTGAGTTTAATTTGATACTATGTTTTAATGTATAGTAGCGCTTCAATGCTTCACATGGTGAATGAAGAAACAGCAAAGACGATTATCACTATTCACTAAATACTCAGTTTGGACTCGTAATGACTTTCAGAAATCCTAGCGGAAAAAGAAGCTTTACCTAATGATCGATTTTTCTCAATTGGGTGAATTGTATCATAAAGTGTCATTTTTAAGTTGCTCTTGAAACTCGAAGCGTTTTCATGCCATTTTTTTTTTGAAACTTGAGTTTTTTTTTTCAAAAAACAATTCATTATGATTTTTTCTGTTTTCTGTAACTTGCGTCCGTTGACTCTTTTCCAAATGTCTGTTGGCAATGTTTTTGGTTGACATCCAAAACACACATGATTTTTTGCTGTCGTGGATTTGTTATAAACCATTTCGCGGTTTGGAGAAAAACTTTTTTCGATTGAGTGTTCGTTTGCTTCAGACTCTTTCGTCACAGTGGCAATGTCATCGAAGAACGAGCGGAAGACGAGCACTAAAAAGAGCAACTGCAGTCCTGTTTTTATGGAGAACTTCGTATTCGAGGTGGCCATGACTCACCTCACCCTCTGCTTCGTCAAAATCATCCTCTTCGTCAAACAGGTTTGAGCTTCAGACAGTCGTTCTTCACCCGGCCAGAAACAGACCCCAATCATGTATTACACACTAGGCTGAGGTCTGGTCATAGATGATCTAAGGATACCACTTAGTTGTAGCTGCATTGGACAATAAACTGACAGTTTTCAGATCTCTTTTCGATATTCCATACTGGTTAAGTTTCACGTTTTTGACTAATTCCTCAATTTCATGTTTTCTCTTTTATTCATGATTTATGTTAATTATCCACATTTGAGAAGTTATCCATCTTTTTAAATAGTTTCACCCATCTTAAGTGAAAAATTCAGCCATGAATCTCACGTAGCTTCAAAGAAAACGGACAAAATCTGAAAAAAAAACGTCAATTCGATCGGTTAAACTAAAAGTTCTATGTTCCGTGACTGTAGTCGATAATATGTTGCCAAAATAACTTCATTACACAAACAGTTCAGTATTGAGTATACAACTGATTTGCGGCAAACTTTTTTGTTACAACTTGAGTAATATGATAGCTCATAAAACCCTGAGTAAAACTAAAACTAATATTTAGAAAAACAGAAAATGCTGCCTAGAAACGCTTCTTTACTAGAGGAATCAATCGAACCAGTAATTTTTTATATGTTCATTTAGCTGTCAGCAAACGCCCTGGCATAGACCTTAACATGTTAACTATTGGTCGACAATAAACCTGCACCATAACTCACCCACTGGAAAAAATTCCGTGGAGCAACTTCGTGTAATCCGACGAAGAAGGTATTTTCCCGGTGAAACTGGCATCGTCAAGGGAATTTTCTGTTTTTAATCTTGCCTGAAAGTTTCAACGGAGTTCAGAACAAATGAGTTTGCCGTTAATTACCGTAGACTTTCATTACCGAGTTTGCCGTAGACTTTCATAAAGGTTGCGATCGTTTTTTTCTTAATTTTTTTCAGGAAAAGTCTTAAATACTCGTCCGGCTCATATTTAATTTTCGCAGTTTGACATTTGGTTTCTTTTTAATTTCAGTTAATTAGCTTTTTTTGAAAGTAGGGAAAACTCCACTATCGAACCGCAAAAGTGTAACGGTCACAAAAAAACGTGATCAAAATTTAGTTTAAAAAGTGGAATTTGACTTTTAGATCTCCAGCGAAAACAAAATCTTCCTCTCGTTCAAATTTTTCATATTCAGTTAATTTTAGCAAAATTACTTGTCAGTGCTTTTTTTGTTCATTTGCGTTTATTCACTCCTTCCCAACTGTATATTGGTTATGTATAAACTTCCTAGCAGAACAAAAAATGTTCCTTGTAAGCCAAATTTTTTCAAATTGGGTCGTTTTTTTCATAGCATTGCAAACTGTAAAAAACTGAATTTCAAAGAGCTTGAAAACCATATATTTTTTTTGGTTTGAAAATTGAAAATCGAAGATTTTTTTTTGCATTCAATGAATTTTTGCTATGCTTTTAATGCTTTTGCCATTAATTATGGGCTGCCTGCAGTCATCTTCTGGAATCCTTTGAGTCCCTTGATTCTGATGAAAATTCTCTTTGTTACAGCTAATTCTTTTTATGTACAGATAAAATGCTAATTTAAAAAGGAACTAATCTCACAGTTAAAATTTGAAAAAGTGAGCAAGCATTCTTTCCGCCGGAGAGAATGAGTACATCAATGTCATAACGTCAGAAACAGTTACAACAAACTTCAATTAATAAGAATGGTGAAATAAAAGTACTGCAATTCACAACATTCCCCTTGTTAGGAGAAAAAAATTGGCTCTTTTTCCTACCCCTCCCCCCCCCCTCCCCACCTCGTATGAGCATCAATTTTATGATGTAATGAGTGGTTTTACGAGATTAATTATAAAAACCAAATATTTTTGTCATGGCCCGGTTAGTCCGCATCCAATTTTCTTGTTAATTGGTTGGTGGCAACAGTAATTTAACTTGTAAAAAATTGCAGGTGGCGGGAAAAGGAAAAAGCGCCAAAAAATAAATACTAAATTAAAGGTAACTGACCCTTTTCTTCCCCCGAAGGAAGACGAAAGAAATTTAACAAACTACAATCAATATGCACTAGTTTAAAAACTATCAACATTACAACAAAACTAATGTTTGATATAAAAAGAACTTAAACTTATTTAGTAACTGGTTAGTCGGAGTAGATCTTACGGAATTTAGCAATTAAAGGTACGTTAGTAGTAACTGAACAAGATATGTACTAAGAGATCTAAATTTGAAATCGAAAAAAAAACAAGCTAGACTAAGGAAAAACTTGCAAAAAAATTACTGTATCAGTTTTTCTCAACTTCTATTACCATTTCCAGTTCAGCGAAAAACAGTTCACTGTTCAAGTGTTCGATTTCGTTATAGCTGCCCAGAGTCATGCTCAAGGATTCATCTGTTGAAGAGGGGGATTGTAAGTCCGCTGAAGAATTGTCTGAGGAGTTACCTGTATCGTCGAGGGAGTGTGCTGAGAAAACTGGGATTGTCTTATCCGAGGTAATTGGGGAAGAAGTCGTTCCTTCCGATCCCGATTGTTCATGATGGCCGAGGATGATCGGGTTTGTCACTGTTTTCGGCTGTTCGTCTCGACTATCTATAACGTCTATGTAAAACTGAGGAGGTCCTACATTTCGGCGCGACCGAAGAAGTTGAAACTCGTTACCGGTGTTATTCTTGTTGTTAGAAGATTCTTGGGTAGCCGTTTTCTCGTCCGAAGAATCGATGATAATGTAGATTGCAAGGTCTACAGTCGAGTCTTTTTGTGAGGTCTCCTGTTGATCCGGCGGATAGTGTTATCGGAATTGATACGTTCTCTAACCATATCTCCTCAAGGGAGACCTCCCGCGATCCAATCACTAATAACTGAGGCGTCTGACGGAAGTAACATTGATTCATCGCAAGCAAAATATTTTGTATTTATGACCTGTTTCTTGTCAGGTGAGGGTCTGTTTCTCTCAGGTTTGGCAGAGGGTTTTGAGACTGTGGTCTTTTGTCCTTATCGGAGGTAGCTAACTCAGTTTGGAGCCATGTCTTCGGGCCTATTTTTCTCGTAGTTGTTTTGTAAACTTCAGTAGTCCGCTTTGAATCTACTTCAAAATCAAAGTCAGAAAAAACGGAAAGGAATTTTTCCGTCTACCAGAACAAACAGTAGACGAAATAAATTTCGGAAGAGCGAATGCGGTTTTTCTGATAATTTTTCCGTCGCAAAACTCTAACGTAATTTTTGAAGCTTTTATAATTTTCTGATTAAGATATCTAAAAAAAGTGTTTCCGTTTATGCTTACCTTAGTTTTACACGATGAAAGCTTGGATGGTGATGGGTAACATAACTCGTAGCTTTTATCCATCGGAAACAGATTTTTCTTTGGGATTATAGGGTCCTCATTTCGTCCTCAACCCGGTCATCAGATTTCCAGTCAAGTACCCCTCCTTTGCTTAGGATTGATTTTTCTTTGTCTAAAACTCAATTGGATAGATTATTGGAGGCTAACTGTTTCCAGGTCGTGTTTGGTTTTCTATTAAAGTGTATTTCAAAAGGTGAACATATGAGTTTTGATTGGAAAGACAAACGAAGGCTCCAAATAGTTTTTAAGACCGCGCGCATATTGTAAAGTAGGTTTTTGATGATCGGGAGCCATTGCTAATAATTTTAATTTTACAGTCTGAACAGATTTTTTCACTAAGCCATTCGAGCGATGTTTGCCAACTTTGCGAAATTTTCTTTCAAAATTATTGAAATCACAAAAAGATTTAAAATCCTGGCTAGTCAAACAAGATGTGTGGTCGACACGGATAGAAAAAGGAACGCCGTGTAAGTAAAAGTAACCCTGAAGGAATTCAATCACTGTATTTGATGAAGTGAAAGATGTTATTTTAGCCGTGGGAAACTTTAAAAATCTGTCAAAGCATGATTAATTATTTTTACTCATCCCAAACTGGAGTCCAAAGGCGAGGCGAAATCAAGATTTAATTCCCCATTAGGCTCAGATAAAGATGTTAGTTTGAGTTTAGGGAAAAAAACTTTTTACATTATTATTAGTTTTTGTGCATTGAGAACACTTTTTACCGTGAACATATATTTGACGGTTTATGTCAGGCCACCATATACACTGATCAAATTATTTCATGCCGAACAGTTCCGGATGGGCCTCATGAAGTGTCTTCTTAACTGCGTTTCTTAAGAACAAAGAGATTACTACTTTTCCGTCCATTTATACTAATCAGTCGGATTTATGAAGATCTCGAATGAACTGGTTTAGATAGAGGCATTTGGTTTTTTTCTTGTAAATTTGTTTGTTGATAAATTTCGAATCAAAAGCTATTTTTATCGACTTGTAATTTTTGCAAGCGATTACGATTGAACTAATGCTTCTGTCTTCGTCGCAATTTTCTCAATTTTTAATCTGTCTTTCGGAATTAAGTCGGCCTAGTTCTGCTTTTACCGCGTCGAGTAAATGAAGGCGAACACGTCAACCTTTCAATTGAATTGGTTTTAGTGGATCTTGAAACTGTGTGATTTTCGTTTGAGTTTTTATGTTTCAAATCCGAAGGAATATTTGTTTAAAAGTCTTCGTAATAATAACTATATCTTTTTTTTCGGCCGAGTAAATTAAATAAACAGACTTACGAGTCTTCTTGGTCTGGTAGTGATAAAAACATTTCTGAGAGACTTCGAATCCCGCTTTTGGCAGATTATCCTTTCATTGACTTTTTCTCTCGTGGCCTTCTGTTTAGAACAATGACATTCATCGTGAGACCATCGGTTGGAAAAGATTGGGATGATTAACTTTCAAGATGGGTGATGTTTATTGGTTTGTTTGTGAATGAAAATTTTAGGTTTTTTGTTGATTGATCCATCGGAATAAATCTTCAAGTACGGGTCATCTAATTTTAATTTATGGAGTACACTTCTCTTGAAGAAGCTCACGGGGCTGGCGGAGTGGATTTGTATATTAAGGGTTACTTGATTTTCTTTTCCGAGCCCGATGTTTAATAATTTTTGAAGTTCTTTCCTTTGGTAATCGTAAATAGTTGTTAAATTTAAAACAGAGTAAACATCGCTGTCGATCTGTCCAGATTCTGACCAGGCGTCGATTACTCTACAACATTCTCTAATTACACGGTCGTGATTTCCATCCGGTTGATCCGATGGATAATTACAATCTGCATTATGTTGAATTTGAGTATCCGCTATATATACATTTTACGGCGGGATTTACAAAATCCGGTAGAATGTCTTCTGTATTTACAGGATGTACGAGGTGTGTCTATTGCTGCACCGACCGCCAGGTGGCCTTTGGAGAAAGTGCCGTCACATTCCATTTATGCATTACTCCGTTCAATATTTAAAATTGGTTACCTTTTTATTTAAAATGATTAAAAGCTTTGATAACAGACGATCCGTTATTTGTCAGATCGTCTGTTAACAAAGCAAAGAAATATTTGTCATTTTCATATGGTTAGTTTTTCCTTTTTAATCGATAAGTGCTACGCTTAGTTCTTTTAGGGGTAGGAGTAGTTCTCTTAGAAATTTTTGTTGGATGTCCGAGCTCATCATTTTTATATAAATAAAAATGTCTCTTATTCGTTCATCTTCTCCTGCGGATATACCGCATTTCTTTGCCATTTCAGCAAGAGCTCCTCAAAATTGATTGTATAACTCTCTACTTCCTTTTGAAGAGTTTGCTACAAATGCTACGGAAAAATGTCCCCTGCTATGGAACTCTTTGGAGGAGTTTGGAGAATTTTCACTCGTGTAAATTTTTGGCCGAAAATCATTTTTCCTTCGTTTCCAAGGGCTAAATACTAGACTGATAGAAGTTTCTTATCTTTTTCTTCAAGTCTCATGCCGTTGAATCGTTTCGTTTCTGCCTTTATCATTGCTGATTCTTCATTGTCAAATCTCTCTTGCTCCCGTAGTTTTCTGTCAAAGGGAGAGGCCTTCTGTGTTTCCGTTTCGCTATCCGGCGGATTTTCTAGGAAAGGTGATTGTAGATGGTATCTTTCAATCGGGTTCAGAAAATTTTCTATAGTCTATTTTTTTTTCAGATTGTTCCACCAAAAAAAGTTTTGTCTGATTCTGACGCTTGAGAACCGATCCTCTCTGGATGTCTAGATATATAGTAGACACACCTAATGTGTTTTCATGTGATGTTATCTATTTAGCAATCGAATGGCAACAATCGATCAACCCACCGCACTCACCGCGTTTAGTATGTTTTTGTCTTTTTTTCCTCTAACAGACATGACAACAAAGCCTTACGATTTATAACAAACTTTAACGGAGCTCCAAAAAATAGTTCTGGTAATGAGTCACAGCCAAAACTACTACTAATAATTCTAACTCATTATTGTTACACGTTAATTCCGCACCAACTGAAAATCTTGATGAGTGTGAGATAGCTCTCCAACCGTCGGTATGGAGTTGCTTTAAGGCGGCCCCCATAATTTGCTTTAAAGCAACACATTAAACCTCGTTTGTTTGCCAACGTCAATGTTATTTTGTAAAAAAAATTACGGTATGCTGTTTTTTGCCGTTTTACCAAGAACTATTTCGTGATATGACCCCAAATCAAACCTCGAGTGTTTTTTCGTTATATTTCGAAAAAGTTCTTTTATCGCAGCTAAGTTAGGGATAAACAGATTGAACTGATTCATCGAACTTAATATGGTTTAAGGCTAATTTCACGGACCCGTCTCGTTTTGCTGTCACGGCGTTAGTCAAAAGGAAACAATCCTCCGTACATTTTCCTTACTTAACGTTGTGTCCCTCTTTAAACAGGTTTTCAATTGTCTCCTCAACCTTCGTCAGAACATGGATAGGGACTCGCTTGCTTTTAAATTGTATTGTCTGAAAGGGTGATGAAAGTGTGTTGCAACTTCGCAAAATTTATTCACAATTTTTCTCTTGAACAATTCTCTGAACTCATTAGAAATACGTTTGATGTACTTACCTTGAATTGGCGAGTTTGCTAATTGCAGTTTCTCCTCGATCCCCACTCGGTGATGAGCAGTTCTGCTCCCTCGGCGATCAGTCCTTCGGTTCCAATACTGCCAATGATACGGCTGATGATTTTTTTAACTTCGTCTGTTGTGCCATAAAAAAAATGTTTCCGATTTCATTTGGCATTGACTTCAACGCCAAACACTAATCTTGAAATTTAAGCTCATTGAAACTTTTTTGGGATATGAATGTCACCGGACTAGCACAAACAAATTGAAACTCCGTTTTCCACTGTTTCCGGCCAATCCGTAAACTACACAACTTTCTATTTTCTTTGTCGGTTTGGTCCCATACTGTACGTATCGCAAAAACTCCAAATTCATCATCATCATTGTTCTATCTTTCTAGTTTGCGAAATAAGTTTATTTCAATTCGATTGAAATCATGCAAATTTCAACTACAATCACCACAGACATTTTGCAATATTAAGCAAAATGACATCTCCAGCTACAATTAGTGCAAGTTATACTTCTCGTGGGACATTTCTCTCCTTAGTTTGGCTTCATCCATTTACCGCATTTATGACATTCTTCCGATCTTTGACTTTTAGGGTTATTCACCGATTGTGTTTTCATAGATCCTTGTTGATTTGTGCCAGTGGCGTTCTGTCTCCCCGAGCTCAATTTGTAACGTCCAAATTTCGATTAACCGAATATGAATATAAAAATGTCTATCACTATTGACTCTTCCTTGTAACCAAAATCGTAGCCTCTGGCTAGGTCACTTAGAGCTCCAAAACCTGCTCCATTCCTTCATTATCCCTTGGTTTGCGTCCAAAAAGAATGAAACTACGGTTTGTGATATCCGGTTCATTAAAAAACGCATCGGTCGATATCTTCCTTAACTCAGCGAAGTTAATATCTACAATTTTGCTGTTGGAATACTTCTGACAGAAGTGTCGTTGTTCATGTTTCCCCAACAAAAAGAGCATCTTCGATTTCATTCTTTTGTCTGCTTCTCCTCTGGTGCTGCCTCCGAACAACCGCTTTTCTTCATCCTAGCGACGGGTCTCCCCTTCTCTCCACACCCTGTTGGCTTCTGTCTTACTTCCTTCTCCCTCCGTTCTTGCATATACGTGCTTCTTCTGTACCTGCCGCTTCTTCTAACGTCGGGTACACATTCTCTGGTTGAGTAGAACTCTCTAATAGGCATTCGAGGTCTATCTCTTCTTTAGAAAATACTATTAACTGAAAGTTCTGTGCCAATCCTCCCAGGAAACCGGCGGTTATTGACACGGGCCGTGCCAAAACACATCTAACCCACTGTAGCTCGATTCCGTTTGTGAATGCGCCAAGTAGAAGTAATCTTAACGTTCCCTTAGTAACATAGATAACTCAGTAAAAACAGTTAAGAGAAACAACTTCAACTTCAAACGCACACGCTCACCACTGGCGATACGTAACCACAACGCTCCTTAGTACGTTCACTTTGATATCATTAATTCAATAACAAACGTCATAAAGTCCTCTAACATAAGTTACATAACAGTCTAACAGTCTCCACAAGACACCTACGACAAAATACATTGATGCGTAGACAAATTGGCAAGTGTCTGCCGTAATAGTCATGCTAATTTAGTGGTCGGCGAAAAAACATAGGCAAAAACATAGGAACTTAAGAACTATCGATGAACAATTATTCTACACCACAGTTACATGAAAACACCAGAAAGACCGTTTTAGTTTTAATTCGAGTTTTCACCGGCCAACGCGAGTTTTTAGTTTCATAGTTTTTCATGTTTGGTAGAAATGATTTAAAATGAAAGGTAGCAAATATTTACAGGGTGCTCCGATGATGTGTTGCTTTTATATTCTCTATCCAATGTAAATTTTGTCTTCTATTTTGGACAGGGTCGAACAAAGCGGAAGATGGGAGGAGTGCACCTCTCTTTGAACTCAACAAGTGAAGAGATCAGAAGCCACTGGAAGCAGATGATGCACGCTGAAGGATCCAGCATAGTGAAGTGGTACGATCTACAGGAAGACATGCACTAGTCCGCCACACACACACACACTCTCTATCTCTCTCTCTCTCTCTCTCTCTTTCATCCGTTTTAATCAACTGATGTGATCTATTCATTCGAAAATATAGCTCAGTCAGGCCAAACTGCCGGCAAAATATTTTTCCACCGACGAATTTGAACTATTTTCATTCGCATTCAATTGTTCTTTGATTGATTGCTAAACACTTAATAGCGTGAAAAAAAATAGTGAAAACACTTCAACCAAAAAGTACCATTCTCTGATAGATCAAAAAATTCGAAGCCAGGGGTATCCTCAAAATTGGCATTAACTGATCAAACGGGTCGAGATAATGTTCGAAAAAGGTTGGGTGGAACTAACTCAGCAAAAGTGTACACCTACTACTTTTCAACTAGTTTACCAGGAGTGGGTAATTTGAGTCCATTTCCTGCAACAGATGGATGCCCTTTTTGGCTATAGCTACATACCAAATTAAAATTTGAAACCTTTGCTGAGTCTTTTCCACAAACTGAATTCACTATAGCATTGATTGGAGTGGGTTGGTGCTCGGATTTATTCAAGACTAGTGTTTTCACTTATTCTAAACTGATTTTTTCTGTATAGTGAAGACGAGATTTCGACCCAAAAATTGAATGTTGTTTTACCTTTCAATGTTAGACTAGAAAAAAACTGAATCAATTACATTAAACTGTATTATTGTATATTTTGGGATATAATTATTTTCACGTCAATTGAGAGACGCAAATTGGTTTCTGTCAATTTTAAATGTTGAATAAATTAATTTTTTGGTACAACTTTCTTGTGAGGTAGTAGATTAATTGACTGTTTTCACATTTGACCTTTGACTATTTTGTTTCTATAGTTCAAATTACGATTTGCTCCAATTATAGAAATGATTGACAAGGATAGCTTGTCCTGGGACTACGAGAAAACAAGAACCGCTCACTGATTGGCAACTCCTGTGTTTTTTTTTCCATCGAAGAAATCGGCCGGTTTTCAGCTATCAAGGAAAAGGGGGATAGCAAATCATGCAAGATGCATGCACCCCTCGATGCTTGATGCTAAAATGATTTCCATCCCAAAGATAAGTTCACCAAAAAGGCATAGTACACTAAAACAGCCAAAAACTGGTCAGCTCAAGTGTTGGTATTTCCCCTCATAGATGAAAGTTCTAACTCGGTTAAGGAGGGGGAAAAGATCTGAAAACGCTCATGAGGAAACAGAAATTTCAAAGCGCAAATTCAATCACGTCGATTTAAACCTTTAAACCTAAGAGGCTTCCTGCAACTCAGAAGGTCTCGGCAAACATACAAATGAAGCTGGCAATTTAATTTAAAACAAGGTCGAAACACATTTTTGAATATACATAAGCAGTTGCAGTGCCTGACATTATTTCAAATCTGGCCTGGACCAATTTAAAAAGGATTTGTGAGAAAATAGACACCGGCAATAAAAACCAGCTTTGAGGGCTTACACGCAAAGTTTGAAGGCTAGGAAAGGACTCAAAACCATAACATAACTCCAAAATGGGAGGAAAATTACAAGAAAATCCAGGAAACCTGGTTTCTTACAGGCTGTTTGAGCTATTCAGATCTAATCCAGAATTCTCACAAAACTTGCATTCAAATAAACCCCGTCTAAGTTTACACAACTTATCAAAGAATGGAATAAGCAAGTTTCCTAAACATTGAGCAAAATATCTGCAAATTTCAAACTAGTTTGGTTGGATAAGAAATAGTTGGAAAACTCGAAATAGCAAACGTGCAAATTGGTGCAAGCATTTCGCAATAAATTGAAGACAACCAAAAAATTAGCTTATAACTTATTATTATTCGATAAGTGTTATCTGTTGGTAGATAGCGCTCAAATATAACTTTTGAGCTGCACTAAAGTACAGCAGAGACTGCCAGGCAGAGAATTTAGAGTCGCCAGTTATAACTAACGCTTAAAATAATAATACAGGGTTTGCGGGCTGTTCCCAATTGTTGGGTTTGGATTTGGGTCTGAAGAATGTCGGTGGCAGAGAAATCTCACGTGACCAGAAACTCTGATAAGCAATCAGCACTTGGCCGGGTCAGCTGCACAGCAACAGCACCGCCACGCTACCACAAACAAAACTCCTCGCGACGTGTGGGGGCCTCAAAAAGTTCATATCAGGAGAACCACGTGCAGAATCTAACCCGCAACCCAACGTCGCTAACCCTGCCGCCATTGACCCGCCAAAACCAACGTCAGGCCCAGCCACCCCCAAACCAAAATGCCAGACTTACAGTTCAAAGTAACCTCTCCTCGGATCAAAATTATAGCCAACAGGCTTCCTTGTCATCTTACCAAGACGAGGCTCAAAATATCTACGTGACCAACTCGGAGGGTCATAGTTATCATCTGAATTCGATCCCGATCCAGAGTCATCAAAGCGCAGACGACAGCAATGAAAACGCGGGAGAAAAGGTGTACGAAACAGTCAATCCAGCTGAGACATTTGAAAGTTGGGATCCCTATACGGATCACATAAACCCTGCTATCGGTCTTTACCCGCTTAACTTACTGGACGCCGACTCAATTTTGACTGATCCCAATGAAATCATCACTCCTGATCAGTATCGTAACTCGGCATACCAAGTCTCCGCTGATGAACATTACACGGAGCAGTATGTTCCCGGATATTACACGTTGGCACCATTCCAACCAGCCGACGATTTTGACAGCCAGGGACTCGTTTTCTATCACGACGCCTCGGGTCTACCGCTGGCGCCCATGGAATTCATGCAAAATGGGGAGATTACATACCCCGTTCCCGTTCAGCCCGATATGGTCATAGCAGCGACTCCCGGCGAGGAGTCGACCTTTCTCTATCCCCCAGGAACGGGATTCTTCGAACCACATCCTGGGTTTAGTCAGGAACAAATGGATCTGCATGCCTCAAATACTGGACAGGAGCAGCTCAATTACGCCTACTACTTCCACCAATTTGACGATCACTCGTTGAATCAAGAAGATTCGGTCACTGGAAGCGGCACTGCGCTAGTCCAATCTTATCAGGACGATGCAAACAGCTTGAGCGGCAACAATGTTCCGCAGAACACTCTGGAACTTTCTAGAACAGCTGAAGAGTTTTCACAGCTGAGAAGACGACAGGAAGACGAAGTTGAAGACATAGTCAAACTTACAGTTTTGGATCTCGTGAAACCGAAACCAGTTGAGAAAAGAGCTAGAAAGACAAGTGGCAAAACAGAACTCAAAGCGACACAAAATCTAAACAAAAAGAAAAATCAGAAAGTATCTGGTACGAACAGTGGTGGCTTACAGTTTGTTAGTTCACAAAACAACCAGTTGCTGAGTTGTGAAGTCATTGGGGGCGAAAGGAGTGATCAAACGGGGTATGAGGGGCCAAGGACTTCAAGTCTCTCATCCGCCACAACACCCAAGTGTCATCATCCCCCGAGTGGTGCTGGGGCAGAGTTAGTCTGTCTGAACAAGGTAGTTCGTAGAAGCAGGCCACCAAAAGAATCGATGCTGCAGCTGCAGTTGCACAATCAGAGACATCACAGTCAACTTGATCTGTCCCAATCATCAAAAGAAACAGTACGTTATTTTCCGTTTTTTTTGTTTGTCTGACAGTACTATTTTTAGACGGAAATTGTTTTAACATTCGTTGACGTTGAGCAGCAAACTTTTCAAAAGTTTTGATTATCGTTAAATTTCAGGAACAAAAATCGAGAGCTGTAACAAATTTTGAGAGACCGAAAAACGGGAGCTCTCAGAACTTCAGACCATTTGCGGCGTCTTCAATTGCAAAGCCCTTCAATCGGCCCAATCTTTCCAGGTTTCAGAACGCCAGCGAAGCCTTAAGTAGCTTGGCGTCTCCCTCTTTTAAGTCTTCATTGCAGAAGCAAAACGCGTCAACATTTGACCACGATTTGCAATCTACAGTTGAAAAGAAAATGCCAAAAAATCCTACAAACTTCAGTTTTTCAGAGCACTTGAAGGGACTGTCGCAGAAAATAAACAAGGAAATGGAAGGAAGTGAAAAAGGAGCGAAGCATACAGAATGTTTGCAGGCGGCTGTTGAAAATGTGCCATCGCCTCTTGAGCAATCGCTCATTGCAGTTGACAGAGTTCTAGAGAAAATTAGTGAAGGAACTTTTAACTTAGCAGATCTTGAGAAAGCGAACAAACACTTCGAGCCGAAGGCTCAAAACGGAACTCAAAATCATAATCTAATCAGTCCAGTAAAAATTGCTAATAAAAACTGTGAAATCAAACCGCCGAAAATAACTGAAAACTCGACTATTGCAAAACAAAAGCTGTTTCAACAAAAAGTTACTGAGAAACAAGCGAAGAGCGGACAGCCGGAAGAGAGGGGACAAAATGGAATGGAAGAACTGCGAACATGGTCATCTTTTTCATCGGCAAAGAATTCTGCAGAGAATTCATCGGCAGGTCGCTATTTGCAACCTCCAGATGTGATCATGCAATGCTCAGAGTTCGACCATGGAAAGTATCTTTTGAACCAGAAGGAGTCTAACTCTCCAACTAACTTCACTAAGCCCCCTTGCAAGGTCACGGCCGATCACATGCCACGAAACTGTGAAGAAGTGACCCAGGTTCCCAAGCAAACAACCAATGACAGTCGCCCTCTCGCTCAAGTTGGGAGTGAAAAAACTAGAGTCGAAATGAGTTCAGACAATGAGAGTAAGCAGCAGCAGGCAGTCTGTACTAATTGTGATGCAATTAAAACGACATTGTGGCGTCGCAATAAAAGTGGTGAGCAAGTTTGCAACGCTTGTGGTTTGTATGAAAAACTACACCGAATGGCAAGACCGACTCACATGAAACGTGAAATAATTCACTCTCGAAAGCGAAAAAGCAACCCGAACACAATCAAGCGAAAAGACAGAAAACGTCGCGCAAAAGTTCTAGAAAGTTCTACATACCAGCTACAAAAGATTGCTATCAAACCTTCGTTTCATCATGGCTTTAACAAACAAAATCGCCTTTCAGCAGTCCCGAGTAACCTAATTGGGAAAGAAGCAGTCTCAAAGTGCCTTAAGAGTCGTCGTCTGAAAGTGGCTCCTCGAATTTACAACAGACCCGTTCAAACTCTGACAGGAGCGGCTGGGCATGGCAAAAGCAACTCATCCTCTATGCACTCACGTTCAGTGATCTCAAACTTCCAGATTATTACTAACATTGCGCTGAAAACCGAAATCAACCCGAATAACCAGTTAATGCCAGCAGTCAAGCTAAACAAAACTCCTGCTAAATTTGAAGGCCACCATTACTCAAGAAACAATGGCATGAGCTCCAATTTAAAACAAAAACTGGGTTCGAAAGTTCCGAGGACATCTTTGACGCTGCCGGAAATAACTACTTTCAAATCTAAAAACCAGTGGGAATCACCATCTCTGGAAATAACTGGCTTCGGAGACAGAACTCGATCCACAGACATTTTCCAGCCCAGAATTGGAACAATGAAAGAAGCTGGGTTTGGATTTTCGGAAAACATGACAAATGTGGCTTCCTTAAACCACAGCCATGTGTCCACTAATCCGCAGGAAAACTCGCTATTGCTATGAAACAACATTTCTTCCATTTCAAAAAGCTTCAATATCAAAAATATTTTATTAATGGCATTTGGGCAGATTAGTTGTGGACAGTCTTTATTAACGAAATTAAACTTGGATTTTATTTGATTTCAAGGATTTAATTGTTTTCAATAAAAAAATGTTTTCTTCGCAGATCTACACAATGAATTTAAAAGTCTATAAAATAAAATAGTGAAATTTTTGGTAACAAATTAGGTAGTTGGAAGATCTAGATAGAAACTTTTTAATGCTAGATTTACTTGGGGCTTTTGCTTTTTATGTTAATAGGAAAATTTGGATTATGGGCGACGTCAATAACCAATTTAATGAAATTCGTCAACCTGATAATTATCATTATTTCATTGATTTTTGATGAATGAGTGCAGGTAAAAATTGTATATATATATTTTTTTCATTTTGATACTGTGGCGATGAAATCTTTCAGATCGTTTGATCTCTTGCTAACTAGATCATACCGCCTTCGTTGTCTTCTAACTCGAAAGTTTCTCCGTCTTAAGCTATTGTCGATTTCCTTTTGCTGCTTAACAGTCGTGGAGTGTCCCCTTGCACTTCTATGTTATCGAGGTCTTCAGCAGGCCTCTTTGCTCATTTGTTTCTCTCCTTCTTTTACTTTTGTGGCTCTCTCTACCTGCTACATTTTGCACTACCGGCTCCGATCGTTCATAGATCATTAGCGATTATATTATCATTTCATAGCAAGTGTTGATAGAAAATGCTTAAAATACAATTTCATACTACGCACAAATGCTTATCATACATCCAAACATATTCATAGACCAAAATCAATTGTATGAAAAAAGTAAAATAAGTATTTTATACATACTATGAAATTTTATAGTAGGCATTTTCGCAACACTGGAATTAAATAACAAGTATTTGGCCACCTTTTCTATCCCAAATTCTGAATGAACAAAGCAAAAGTATTTTTTACAGTATGGCAGTTGTATGATAAGCATATTTTCCTTATTCTATGAAATTTTATGAAAAGCATTTTTTTTCAAAAATTAACATGCAAAAAATGTGTTTCGAATTTTTATGCTTTATTCAAAAACGCATAAACCAAGCATTTCTATCATAGGAACTCCAGATTGTAAGTGGCAGATACCACGCAGATTAACTACATTTGTTAATATTAAACATAAAAATTGATGTTAACATTTTCTGTAAGTTTCTGTAAAAGTTATTTTGTAAGTTTTTGTATATGTCTAGAAGTTTTCGGTGTTTGAATAAAGTTGCAGGTTTTGTTACAAACTTAAAACGTTTATAATAGCAAATGAGAGATAAAAATCATGTTTGTGATTTTAAAAACATTTTGTAGTTTTTTTGGATTTTGGGTAAAAAATTAAGTCTGGACTACGTTACAGACAAAAAAGCATTAAAATTTGTCCGCAATTTTTTTTGTCGTAATAGGTTTATTGGAGCACTTGAGCGAGTGTAACCAAAAAGGAGCAAAAAAAACATTACCTCAAAAATCTCTTCCTTTCTACGGAAAAATGCATATCATACGACTTTCGAAAACTAAATTGTATGATAAGCAATTGTTAATGCCAAAGTTGCTCTCATGAAACCAAAATTGTCACTTATTTTTTTGCTTATGCTTTAAACTACTTTAGGATAATTTTCGAAAAAAAATTTGATTGAAAAACTGTTTATCATACATTTTTCTTCCATGAAAACTGAATGATAGGCATTAATTCTTTAGCCACCACATATTAAATTGTATGATAAGTTTTTTTCGTGATGGACAACAAATCGAAACAGTAACTACAAAATGACACAGTATTTTTTAAAATCTATGAAAAATGGATTATATTCCTAAGACTTTTGATGCCCATTTAATCCTATATAATCCAATATAATCAATCAGAATGATTATTGAGAGTTTAAAAAATCCATGAACTTGTTTTAAATTTATCTCACAACTTGTTTTGTGCAATTAATACGCATTACGGTTCATAATTTTTAACAAAATATTTCAAACTTTTTCGAATTTTTAAAACATGGCAGTTTAACATTATATTCGCTTAAATCCCTAGGCCACTTTCTGCGTGAAAAAAGGGGGTTAAAGGTTGAACGAGTTAGGTTCAAAACTAAAGAGAGGAGTTTGATCGTATTTCCAGTAAACTCAAAAGCGAGTATCTTATTTGGCTTCCGAGGTTTGGAAAAATTTTTATATAGGCTTCAGCTTTTTTTTACCCAATCTTTCAAATGATTTTTTACCTGTTTACACAGAGGCAAAGCTTCTCTTTGCAAACACTTGCGAAAACACGACGAAAAGCAGCTCTATAAAGTGCAATAATAAACTAGAAATAGGCCTCGAATTAAAAAAAAATTCGGCATCCTCTGAAATTTGGAGCTGCACCCTAAAAGTTTAAAAAATTACACACTAACCACTCAGCCGCGGAAGCTTAACATGAACCAAACACTAGGCACAAATTTTCACAAATTAAGCAGTGAACAGATGCTTTTCAGTTTTCAATGCTACGTTGAATATTTTTTTAGCCTTTTTACTTGCGAGGAAGGTCAGAAAAAAAAGAAGGTTCGTAAAATCACAGAAATTTGATTACAAGTGTAAAAACGTAATCAGTCAGCTGCCCATTGAGCGCGTGTACAAAAAAACGCAATTTTTTGGTTCTTTTTTGTCTGATTTGTCGCCACTAAGTCATTCTATTAAATTAAAGGATAGCTTTACATCTATGAAAAGCTATCCAGCCTGTCTTAGCAAAGTCCATTTTCTGATATCCCCACATTCCACATTGCCTTATTTTCTTGGCCGAAACTTTTTTTGCTCAAGACATTTTTCCGCGTCTAGAATTTTCACGTGGCACCACTATTGCAACCGTAACTGGTCAGGCTGTGGTAGACCTAAAGCTAGAGGTCAAGAGAGAGCAGGGGATCACACACCATCATTGCCATGGCAGGGGATCGATTAAACGATCTGACGGCCTCGAAGTGAACGCCTTACCATTATCATAAGTGCCACGAGTCTCCAAACTAGTCCCCACGAGTCTCTTGGTGACTTTTAACCTCAAAGTTGTTAAAATCAGTGTCCAAAAAATTGGAAAATTGACAAAAAAACTTATTGAATATTGTCATCTAAAGTTGGGCTTTTAACTAAGCTAAATATCTATGATGGATTCAAACCAAGCAAAACATAAGCAAGGGACCGGAATTTTTATTTTTTTTGAAAAATTCTCATGAATAAAAAAAATGCAGTCATTTGCTGATGTTTTGCCTTGCTTTGAATGCATAGTGGGAATTTCACCTTGCAGTGCTTCGTTATTTAATAATATATACTTGAATTTTTCCAATTTTAGATTTCTATCCGTAGAAAAAAATTAGCAGTGCCGCCATTCTAGAGTTTGATAAATTCACTTGATTTTGATATTTCTGATTGAAGCCTAAAACACCCCATGCTGAAATAAAAGGTTGAAGACTTGTTATGCAGACTTGAATTGCTTGTTATTTGTTGAGTTCCCGCAAAACTAAAAATGTACCTCCAAATCAGCTTTTTTCTGTACACCTTAGAATCTGTTTTGACTTAAGTTAGTGACAACCGTAAAACTCAAAAAAAAATTCGTCGATCATCGTTTTACTCATATCAAATTTTCAATTCAATTGTTATTGTTGCATATCATTTTTGTCATTGTTAAGAGTAATTAAAATTATTAATACTACAAAACTAGGTTCTAAAAATCATTAGCAGAACGGAATGAAAGATATATCATGTAAAAGAGAAACTTCAATTTTTCACGTTGTCCTAGTGTTCAGAAAAACTGGTGTAATTTTTTTTTGAAATTTAGCTCAACTTCGAGATAGGAAGCAGCGAATAAGCGAGCTGGCGAGCAGGTTCATTTTAGAGGAAAAAGACATGAAACCTAATTTTCATGCAGTTAACTTATATTTCAAAGTTCTTATTGCCTTTTTGGGAATAAAAACTTACAAAAAATAAAAACTATTACTGCAAAAAAAATTTTGAATTTTTTGAAACTTTGTGCTATTTTTTGTTTTTCTATGCTTTTTTTGACAAAAGTGTTATCCAAGTTAATTTGCATGTTTTACTATGACTGTGAAAAGTGCATAAGCTCTAGGCTTTTAATCAGAATTTTTTAGCACTCCACGCACAAAAAAAAACAACCCTAATTTGAAGAAAAAAAAACGTATATTTTTCTAGGATTATGCACAGAAATCGGTTATCAATGCTTAGTCAGGTATTTATTTCGACCAATGTATATTGAAGAGCTTTGCTTGCTGTCTCTTGCAGAATAAGATCAAAATTTCGGTATTTATGCCATATACAAGCGTACTTTATCATTTCGTTCGGGTACTGAATAAATTGCAAAATTATTGAAAAGCAGTGACCTGTTCCTAGAACAGCCGCCACCTGTTCCTAAAATAATAACTCAACACAGGCCCTCGTGGAAATCCATAAGTTTACTTTTTCAGTGTGAAAATCTTGTTATTTTTTAATTATTATTTTCCATTCTGCATATATGGATGTTGCGTAACAAACAAGATTTTTTTTCGGCTACAGCAAAAAAAAAGATTTTATAAACAAATTTTCTTAAAAATTTACTCTGTCAAAATTTTTCAGAACAAAGTCTAAGTCCTTGCCGCCACCTGTTTTTAACCAAAAAAGTGATTACTTGCATAAAAAAACACAATTTGTCCGTTGCATTAAAAGCTTAACTCCTAAAGTGTTACTTAGAAGTAATTGTTGACTGCAGAAACGAGGCATTTGTAAAACTCGACTTGAAGACCATTACAATGCCAAGCTCGGGTACTTTGGTAGTAGTTTGGATTCCGCATACATTGTACTTGGAATCCGCAGAGTTTGCGCTAGATTTCGCAACATTTCGAGAAGTCTTTGAAGTCGGAAATCTGCTGGAATCGAAAGACAAGTTATAAAACCGAGCTTGGCGTCGTCATGTCGGTAGCCAAAGCCTTTGTAACATCTCGAAGTTTGGCTGATGATCAGAAGTTGTTCTAATAATTGGGAGGATTATAGACTAGAACACAAATACTTACAGTATTTGATTTTTACTTGAAAAGAACAATTAAGAGCTAGCTCATGATAAACAAAAAGATGACGTAATGATTATTGTGACAAATTCATTTGGGTTCTAAATAGGGCGTTGATATTTAGCTGAGTAAATTAGTTCAGCTATTTGTCTTGTGAAGTCCCACTGATGAAATAATGCTGTTGGTCTAGTGAATATAATACATGGCATCAATGGTGGGTGACGTTTGGTGTAATTCGACAGCCAAACAGTTCAAGTCGAACACTGTTTACCAACTGCTTCTGGTTTAGTGACGATTGTTTGGATTTGAACACATTCAGATAAAACACATCCACCAACTGAATAGTCTCACAAGCTAATCTGAGGCTGAAAGAATGAGCACTCTGTAGACTGACTGAGGATGAAACCCTAGTTTTGAAGTCGACTTTGCGGCCCCAATAGTTCCTTTTAAGCAATTGACCTCGTCTAGTTATATCATCATAAAATACCCTCAAACATAACTCAATCTACTTGACATTATAGAGGACTGAAGAGATCTCTAGGAGTTGAAGAGAGGAGGAGAGGAAACTGGGTTTAATCAGAAGTTGAAGCTACCAACTGAAACCAAATAAACGCCGCCAGAATGATTCAAATAATGGACTATCTGGAAAACAACTCCTACCCGCTCTGGTTCAACGACACCGGCAATGACTTCTCGTGCTCCCCTGTTTTTCTGCCTGCCACCATTCTGCCCTTTGTAGGCATGCTTCTGTTGATTGTAACTATTCCTGTTGCACTTGTAACTCGCCTCACTCAAAAAGTGTCACAGCTGGGAGATTATAACATCCAATTTACCGTTCACTGGACGGGCATCTTTCTCTTCTCACTCTACCTGCTCTTCCTCAATTTGACCTGGCTGCTGCTGAGAGGCCAACAAGTTCAAATTCCTTCCATTGTCTTCATTGAATTAGCAGTTGACGACTTGGTTTTCATTCTCATAACAGTCGAATTCATAACTATTCAACAATTTGGAATGCGATACAGTCCAATCTGCATCATTTACTTCACTTTTCGATGCTTGTGGCTAATTTTAGAGATCACTCTGAACATGTTCATAACTTACCAGCATGGCTTCAAACACCAATCTCTAGTCTATAGTGTCCGCTTCAACTTGTTCTCTCCTCTCAACCTCATAATAACCGCTTTCAACTTATGCGCCTTTCTCAAATTGACAGGCACTGACAGTGAACATGATAGCAGTGTTTTGTCCTTCCAAAACATAACCTTCCAGTCCAAGATTCTGTTCCACTGGTTTACCAAGTATGTTGCGAGGGCGTGGCGGGGACACCTCACAATGGAGTCGCTGCCTGACCTGCAGAGTTCGTTCACGTCAATGCCCACTACGAACAAGTTCGCGGAGAAGATGAATGCTTTGAAGTTGAGCAAGGCACGCAGGGGGGATGAGGACGGAGCAGGCGAATTCACTCACTGGGAACTCTACAAGGTAACCATTCCAATCCTCAAGTCATGGGATACAAAATTAAAGCCAAAACAACAGTCAAAACAAATTCTGTATGTTGAAGTAGATCTAAAAGACATCAGCAAAACTAGTCTGGTCTGATGAAAAAATTTTGATGATCCAACAAAATTTGAAAAGTGTCAAATAAGTAGCTGAGAAGCTTCACTGGCTCTTTTGATACACTGACTGATTGTATCACATCAGGCATGGCAAAAACTGGTTGCAAAAGGGACTTTTTTGTAATTGAAGAGTGACCATTCATCGCAAGGCAATGAGAAAAGGGTTTTTTCTTGTAACTCTTGTGGAAAATCCACATTTAGTCACACGCACACTAAGGAATTGCCGCTTGGTTGCTGTACATCGCACAATCAATTTAGTTCGAACTATTTATTTACCGGGGTTGACCTTCATAGACCGAAACTGCTAGTCATACAATTCCATAAACTAAATCTATGAAAAGATACTAATCAAACAAATTTTATACTTTTTGCTAAAGAAATCATCGAATTTTCTTTTATTTTGCATAAAATTCGGTTTATCATCATACCTAAAAAAAAAATTTTTGTCAAAACAAGCTAATCAAACAATTTCTATATATGGAATTTGATGGCTACACTATAAAAAATTTTTCAGTGGTATCGAAAAATTGTCCCAATAAAATTTTTTTTTTCAATCGCAAAACGAATTTAGCACTCAAACAAACAGTTTCATTAGAACAATTGTTTTTGACAAAACTATGTCAATTCAGGCAATTCATCCGATGCATTGTAACTGCACGAGGATCAAACCTATTGGGAATCTACTTTTGACTAACCAAGGTTTTTGCCAATTGTGTTCGGTTACGAAAAGAACTCAAAACTTTTGAGAAACAAAATTAAAAAAAAATTTTTTTTTTGGTTTATGGAAAAATGCTGAAATGCATAAAAAATTTTAATCCCTGATCTTTTATGCAATTTTCTGTTTTTATAGAATTGCCAACAGTTAAGACTAATGTTAGTCAAAATAAATATATTTTTTTCAACTATTTTTCGTTTTTGTTTTATCTTTATTTATCTTCTAGAAACTCAAGAAAAACACCATGATACACAAATGAGATGGTTTTTAACTCAAAAAGGATAAAAATAAAAAATATAACAATTCAAATTCAGTGCTTGTTTGTTTTCAACTTTTCATTTGCATTTATGTGCTCCCTGTGAAAAATTTCTAGAACCTAAATTGTTTCGATATTATTCATTTCAACGCACACAAACATTGAGCCTGGTTTGGCCAAAATAATAATCAAACAAATTAGCTTCTAAAAAATCAAACTGTTTTGATCTAAAGTCATCAGTGTAGAAAATGGCCTTAAAATTTTTTAATTATATTTGGTGCTATCATTTTTTCATCAATTTTTCTTTAATTTATAAATCATATGAACGTCGTGTGATTTTAGAGGCGTTTATTATCAAAAAATTATCTTTCGAATTTTTCTGTGAAATGTCCTAAAAGTTTTGGGATAGTAACAACTCTATTTATTCAGCCACAGATTAGAGAAAGTGCAGTTTTTAGCTTTCAACCAATGTAATGAAAGAAAAAATTTTCAAATCTCCGCTGTTTTCTCTACAACTACTTGTTTCGCAATTTCAACTTTGACAAATGTTTGAGCTTTTGACATAAAATTACACACAGAGGCGAAGTTAAGCTTCCCACCACTTGCGATACAAAACAAGAAAACCACTAAGTTTGAAAAAATCGAGAATGTTGAGAAGACTAGATCTATCAAAAAGAAATATTTAGTCACACTCTCCCTCAGTACACAAACACACCAAAAAATTTTATGCTCCTCAAATTCAAAAACATAAGGTCATTAGCCGATATCAGTTAAGCGGAACCCTTTTAAGCGGGAAAACTAATTGAAAAACCGGAAAAAAGTTCTGAATAATAAAAGTTATTAGGTCCACCACAAAACACAACAACTCACACGCACAAAAAAACTTTTTTACTTCCCAAAAACACGCAGTATGCACTCAGGTCATCAATAGTTTTATCTAGAACGAAACCTATCGAGCGGAACAAAAAGAAAAAAAAACTAAAAAAATTGATTGCCATGAAAAACTTTAAATTCCATTAAATTTTTTAGCATAATGTGCGATGCAGAGGGGAAGAAAGCGTACTTTTTTAATCAAAACTACTAAAAATTAGATCACTAAGCCAAAAAAAATAAGCGGTAATCATGACGGAAAGAAATTTTTAAGCGAAAAAAAATTAAAAGGTTTTCGAAGTCAAGGCTAGTAAAATCACAAACAACAGAAAAAATATCAAAATGACAAAAAGAATTACAAAAAAACTTACCTACAGGAAAAAAAATAATTTTACGGTGTGGCAACTAAGCCAAAAAAGCATAAGTGAAAATAATAAGCAGACAAGTTTTTTGAAACGGAATTTTTCCTGTTCTTATAAAGAAAAAGTAAGCGGTATTCATGACGGAATGAAATTCTTAAGCGAAAAAAAATAAAAAGGTTTTCGAAGTCAAGGCTAGTAAAATCACAAACAACAGAAAAAATATCAAAATGACAAAAAGAATTACAAAAAAACTTACCTACAGGAAAAAAACAATTATACGGTGTGGCAACTAAGCCGAAAAAGCATAAGTGAAAATAAGAAGCAAACAAGATTTTTGAAACAGAATTTTTCCTGTTTGAAAAAAAAAATACAGATCATGAAAGATTCGAACCCAAAACATTAGTGTCCCAGGCTTATAAGCTACCTCCAGACCAAGTGTGCCGAAGACTCAAAGACAGTTGATTTTTTTATGAACCGAATCTAAACTTATCATTTCCATATTTGACTAGTCTGTGAACAAAGTTATTTACAAAGTTATTAAGCAGTCTGTGAACAAAGCCTAGTATAAGATTGCAATAACCTATCTTTCACAAAAATGAAAATGAATCAAAAGAAAAACAGTTAAAAACTTTTTTTCGGGGCGTCGTTTGGTGATTCATTCAGAGGGCGTTAAACAGAAGCTATTAGTGCCAAAATATCCTGTAAACAAGATAATAATTTGAAACTTCAAAATTAAAAGAACCGTTTCAAAGCTAAGGATCAAATTTAGCTCTCATAGGGGTTTGTTTCTTTGTAAAGAAAGAACGGAAAACTTTATTCAGCTCCTGAATAGAAAATCTTAATGTTAGACAGTATATGGTAAAAAATTTCAAAATCTGATTCAATTGCTATTTCGTAGCTGAGTAATTTTTTCTATTTACTTTGAATTAAGGCAAAATCTATGCGAGGGCCTAATTAAGATCCTTCTTTTTCTAATGTATTTTTCAATACCAAAGTTTTTAGCTGCTTCTGTTGCTCAAAAGACATTTCCCCCCATAGCCTCTATATAAATGGCTAAATACTTTTCTCGGCTTTTCTCAGATATTTTTTTTTTCATTCAGGCTATGTTCAAGTTTCAAATGAAAAAATCCTACAATTATATTGAAAAAGGCAAAAGATTAGCAAGTTTTTGTTTGTCTTAATGCTTAAAAAATAAAAAGCAACTTCTAAGCGCGTCACTAGAAGTTAGGATGATGAAATTTATCAAGGGAACGCTTTTTTTCAAGAAACTTAAATGAAAGCCACGGTTAAGTGGATACGTCTCCGCCTCTCAATTTGTCTTCGAGGCCCACCTTTGTCCGAAAGTTCCCAAATAGCCTTAAAATTTCATATAAATCTTGAGTAACGAGCAAATCTTGTGAAGAGCCGAACAACTGTAACTTTTTTACTTTTCCTCGCGGATGAATCGTCTCAATTATGATCACATGTGATGCGGTTGAGTATTTTTAGGCCCTACAATCGGAGGCTAGGTTCAGTAAAAAAACTCGGAAAGATTCTTTTCAAAGTCGAGAATCAGTTCAGTGTCTGTGTTTTTGTTATTCACATTAAAACTGAGCAGAAATTGAATTCTATTGAGACAGTTTTAAAAATTCTTTGATTTCATTTCAATTTTTATAATTTGCCAGTTGGACAACAAAAACTATTTTATGAGTTATTTGGAAGGTTTCATTATGCACTGATAACGGCCTGAAAATGTGTTTACATACCCTCAGACCGTATCTTTTTGCAAGAAGTTTTTGGCATAGTCGTAAGGAAGCTTAAAAAAATTCTGGAAAACAGGTTTCGTAGATAATAAAAAGTTCAAATGAGTGCATTTTTTTGCAATTTTTGTTGTATTTTAACTTCATAAATGCATTTATTTGCTTTTTTGTACAGTATTTGTAAAACCTGATTTGCCTTAATGTTATTCTCATTCAATGCACACAAACAGAGTGCCTAGGTGGGCTAACATAAAAACCATACAATTTAATTACTTACTTTTCTTTTTTTGTATCGTAAAACTGGTCGTGATTATTTGGGAGGTATTTAGGAGCTCGTTTTTTTCTATAGTTGCCTGTAAACTTATATAGTCAAAAATGTTGCAAACTTTAGTTTTCTAGCGATGAAATTTAAAAAAAGTTTCTCAAGTCTGCCGTTTGCTCCACAATTACTACAGGTTTAATTTTTGACAACTAGTTCAACTTTTGGATTATTTTGACACGTTTTATGTGTGTAAAGATGAATAAAAACTCAAAAATAAAAGTTTCGAGGCTTCTTTCGGTCATTTAAATAGAAGGCTTTAAGTAGGTGTTCTTAGTGTCAAAAGTTTCCGTAAACAGCGGAACATTTCGAAACTTCGAACTAAAAAGCATTCGTTGGAAAGCTTAGGGCCTAAACTAAAATCTCGTAAGGGTTTTTCTTCGTGCAAAAAAGAACCAACATTTTTTGTTTAGCTATTAAACAGAAAACAACAATGAATCTCCAGCAATGAATTGTACAAAAAATGCCTAAGCTTGAGTAAACTGTTATATTGTAGCTGAGCAGCTTGTGTGTTTATTCCAAATTACGTGTAAACATATATTAAGGTCTTGATCAGCTTTGCAACGAAAATCTTCATGTTTAAAGTTTTAATTTGTCTCTGCAGTTTAAATGGCGTTTTTGTCACTAAGAAAACCTCTGTAAAGCCTCTATTCATATGATCAAACGGCACCTTAAAAAATGTATTTTAGGTTTTTTCTCAAGTTTTTCGACTAGTTTTTTTCTGTTGATTTTTTGTTCGGTTTTGTGCTGTTGTATTACAAGCAATTGCGGTCTCTGGAGGTCAACACAGGCGTAATGATGTTCTGACAGATCTCGAAGAGTGCAAAAACACCATGGCTTAAGGAACGCTTTAGATCACTTCAGGTAGCTCAAATGGGAGTGCCTGAGAGTAATTATATCGCCGCCTCTCATTTAACATCTCGGATGTTCGAAGCCTATCATGATCTGTGCTCGTTGCATGAGAGGGAGGCAAAAGTTTCCAGCACAAAAAATAACCAAACAAAATTGCAGCTATATCTTAAGCAAGGGCGTAATATCTGTTTTCCACGAAGAGCCGAACAGCTCACTTGTTGGTCCTTTCTCTTGTGCATTAGTCATCTCAATATGATCTTATGCGATGCTGATGAGCATCATGTTAAGTGCATCATTAAGTGATTGTGATTATTAAGCGTCCGTGGCTCAGTGGTTAGTGCGTGAAATTCACAATCTCTAGTTCGCGATCTGTCGGAGATCGAATACGACACCTAGCCGAATTCTTACTAATTCGAGGCTTATTTCTACTTTTTCTTATTGCGCAGCTTTTTATCGTGTTTATTGTTCCGACCATTTAAAATCTTTGTATTCGGGTGTTTTAATTTTTTCATTTTCCACGGAAAATGAGGTAGCCCAAATAATCATCAGAATGGGTCGAAAAATATATCATTTTGATGCCCTTTCAATTGAAATTCTAACAATTTCAAGAAACTTTGAAAAGGTTTCGAAAATTTTGCAAAATTTGGAAAAGTTTTTATGCTTAATTTAGGCCGTGAAAACTTAGTTCACTTAGATAAATAAAGTTTTTCTAGCGACATTAGAAAGTTTTTCTCAGATAAACAGCGACATTTCTAGCGACATTTTGAGAATTAAATGCGACGAAAATTCAAAAAATATCTGCAAAAAAAATAGAAAAATTTTTTGATTTTTTTTGGCTTTTAAAGACTTTGTTTTTCTAGTCACTTTACTACAAAAACTGTTTTCTAAGTGCCTAAGTTACAAAGAATCTCGAATATGCCGAAGTTTTTTTCTCTCAGATTTTTTTATCACACAAAGCAGAGAAGTGACTATTGTTTTTAAATATTGTTTTTCATGAATGATTTCAGACACTTCTTGTGAAGACGTTCGGCTGGTACATGGTCAAGACCGGATCCCTTCGACTCATGGGAGACTCGGTACAATTCTGCAGCCCCATCCTGCTGAGTCTCCTCATTCAACACATAGAGCAGCCAGACACGCCCCAGTGGAGAGGGGTGCTCCTTTGTTTACTCCTATTTGTTTGTTTGTGCCTCGAAGCAGTCATCAAGTTGAGATACCAAAACAGCATGCACCAAACGGGACTGATGATGAAAACTGCTATCGTAGACTACACGTATCAGAAAGCGATCAAAATTATGTCAGGCACAACAGCTGCGAACATCGTCAATGTTCTCAGAATCGATTGCGAATGTTTCTTTCTTCTCAACCGTCAAATTCACCTCATTTGGTCGAACCCTTTCGTCGTCTCCATTTGTATATATTTGCTCTACATTCAGTTGAAAGCAGCCGCCTTCATTGGACTCATCGCAGTGTTTCTCATCACTCTTTTGAATGTGTCCATTCTGTTCCTGATGCAAACCCAAGTGGAAATAAGTCGCGACATTAAAGACCACAAGCTCAGCCTAGTAAATGAAGTTATCACCTCCATTAAACAGATCAAGTTCTACCTCCTTGAAAGTGCCTTTCATCATCACCTAAAAGATGCCAGACTTGTTGAAATGAAGGCTTACAACGTCACCCAAATTCTTGTACTGGTTGTTCACGCTTCTTTGGAGCTGTCGCCGACAATTATAGGAGTTGCGTGTATCTCGGCATACATCTTCATGTACCCAGAGGAAGGGATCAGTGCCGGACAATTGTTCGTTTCCCTTTCAATTCTGAATGTGCTCAAAGTTCCCCTCTACAGCGTGAGTGACGTCATACGAGCAGTGCAAGAATCGAACATTTCTTGCAAGCGTCTTGTGAGGTTTTTGAACATCCAAGAAATCGACCGTGAGGTGTACATGAAAATAAGCGAAAGCGACGAGCGCGATGTTATCATTGAGAACTGTTCTTTCAAGCACTACCAGAATCAACTAGCGCCAAAATCCTTAGCTCAGAAGAAAATCGAAAAAGCCAGACATGAACATCAAACAAAAATTACCCAAAAGAACGCATTGAAAGTTGAGACTTACCCAACAGAAAGCAAAAAAATAGCTAGTAGTTTCAACAAACAAACGCCAGAGGATAAAGTGAATTCACATGACAGTTCCAGCATCCAAGCTCCCAAAATATCAGTTGGCTCCGAATCCACGCATGATATTGAAGAGCCTAAGACTGAAAAAGCCGAATCTTCGAATTCTAAGCCGAAACAGTTCAGATTAGCTAATATCAATTTGCATATCAAAAAAGGAAGTTTAGTGGCAATTATTGGCTCAGTGGAGTCTGGGAAGTCGGCACTTTTGTCCGCAATCGGGGGAGAAATGGAAATAGTTCCTAACACGGACGAAAAGGGAGGCATTGGAACTCTTTCTCGAAGGGATGTTAGCTGGGACTTGCAACAGTTTGTGTCGCTGCCTAATTCGGTCCAGAGAAACATTCTCCTACTTGAGCCGCAGAAGCTCCACCAAGCAAATTGGGAGAGATACAGGAAAATTTTGTACGCCTGTGCCCTTTTCCCAGATATACCAACTTTAGCAGAAGGTCAGTTAGAGCGAATGATCAGCCGTACTTCAGATATTCCAAACACAAACCGAAGTAGGGTGGGGGGGGGGGGGACTATGGGTTAGTGTGGGTGTTATTCCAGGTCCAGGGAACTCTGTTAATGTATTGAGCTTGGTGTAACCTGGCCTTCTCAGTAGGCGCCAAGTCATTTCCGCCCCAAAGCTGTCAGTTCCGCCTCAATGCCCGAGTCGAGTTTTTTCACCTAATTTAAAGCCAGATTTGAGAGGTTTGAGCGGTTTTTTTAGACGATTGCGCTAAAAGTCTTGCTTCATAACGAGAGGTTTGAGCGGTTTTCGAGCGGTATATTAAAAAAAACCGCTCAAAAACCGCCCAAGCGCAATCGTCTAGAAAAAACCACTCAAAGAAAAAAATGATTGAGAAAAACCCCATCGGGTTGGATCCTGAAGCTACTAGAAAAACATTTCCAATCCGGTTTTTATCGAAATTGCAAAATTTTGTCCCAAACTTTAGGTTTGTACACCTGTATTAAAATTTTGGAAAATTTCTCAACGGTCGGGGCAATATCTCGGGAAGGAAAAGATAGTACCCAGTTCAAAAATCCCAAAGCGTTGATGCCAAAGCTACTCAAAAAAAAATTGGCAACCTTTTCTTATCAATATTAGGGAACTTTCCCCAAATTGTAGCAAGGAAACCCAGTTCTCGGAAACAATTGAGGAGTTTTGCGACGTCTGAATATCTCTTACAAAAAATAAATGTCAGTTCAGATTAAAAATCTCAAAGTTTTGCCGTATAGAGCTAGTGGAAAAAAATTTCTTGTACACAGTGAAGATTTTCGCCTCAAATTGAAGCACTGAAGCCTGCACCCGAAATTAGGAAAATTTTTTGATGATCGGGTCAAATGATCGCGAAGGAAACATACAAATAATCATACATACATACATACATACCAACATGCATACAGACATACATACTTACATACATACAAACATACATGTAACATTTCTTCGGTTGCGCAATGTCGCAACATACACATTTTGAGTCGCCAGGAACGCAACATAAGTTCCCGACCTCGACCTGATTTCAAAAAATTTTCATAATCGGATTGAGAAAAACTTGAAATGAGAGCAATCGGGTGCAGCCCACTTAAGCATGCTTTGTATTTAAAGGTCGAGAACATTATTTTTGGTCCAGACAGTTGAAAAATATCTTGCTTGAGTTGAACACGATCGAGCACATGTTTTGCGCTCGTGGCTGCAGAAAACTATCTTGCTTGTGTCGAGTAGGTTCGAGCATATTTTTTCAAGTGGTAAAAAGTACTTCAACTGCTTTTTAGCGCCACATTGCCTTTTCCGGGCTGTTGATGGTTTTGATTGTTTTTTTTAAACCGCTCAAAAACCGCTCAAATTTTGAGTTAAAACGGTTTAAAAACCGCCGAAAGAAGTGAGCGGATTGTGAGCGGTTTCTAAAGCAAATTTTGAGCGGTTTGAGCGGTTTTTCCAAAAAATTGCCCAAAACGCTCAAATCTTGCTGAAAAACCGCTCAAACCATTCAAATCTTGGGCGGTTTTTGAGCGGGATCTCGACCCGGGTGTCAAGGCATGTTTATCAAAGACAAAAAAACCGAATGGTTTCGTGGCGGAAATGGTTTTGAGGCACAACCCGCAGTGACAAAAATGGATAAAAACCAATTTTTAACAGAAAAATCTCTATGTTTATGTAATTATATAGTTTATCTATAACCCTTTTGCGAACGATAACGGCTCTACATAGATAGAATATATTGTTTCCACAAATAGTTAAAGGATTTTAGTGCCAAAAGAACCAATTTTTCTATTCTTTAAAACTTGTAAACAATCTGCATATAATCTGTATATAGTCTGTATATAATCAGTATATAATGTGTAGATAAACTGTAGATATTCTATTAACAATCTGTATACAATCTGTATACAGTATTTTTGACCGCGCTCAACTCAAAACCCTTAAATATCTCACAAGAAAATAAAAGATGTAACCAAACTGAATTAGTTCTGAAAACGGCTCAAATAGCAGAATCTTTCGATATAAACGGACAAAACTTATAACAAAAACTGCACATTCACGGCTAGAACGTGAAAAAGCAGCATTTTTTTGATATACGGTAAATCACAAACATACAGCAATAACCTGTCAGAAAAAGACAGGCAACTGATCTTAGTTTAGTTTAATTTACTCGCTTTAAATTCTCGTATATGAAAGGTTATTTGCGTGGCAACAGTATGCAAGCCATTTAATACAAATAAAATTTTTTTTAGTGTTTTGGCAATGATTCTAGATGCAGATCTACAGTATAGAACTTTTCCAAAACAAAATGGGTTTTCATCGATTATTAGAACTGAGCAAAGTTTTACTAGGACTCCAAAATCTGTTGTATAAAATTACAACGGATCTGAAATCTGTGTTTTTTCAGTAGATAATCAATTTTTATATATTTTTGTCACTGCGGGGTAGTCAACCGAATCTGATATAAGCAATTTTCCTAGACATTTGAATGGTTTCTGGAAAGCCGGTTTCAAGCAGGTATTTAGCGAAGAAAATTTTTCAAATTTTTGCTTGAAGTAAAGCTGCATGAAGTCATTTCGCAAACTTTTCGTGACGGAAAAACGCAATTGTCAATGAAACGCCAAACCCAAGGCCAAGTTTGTCATTATTTCAGCATTATCGAGAGCTTCATATAAATGCTGATTATCATCTCAGCATCTAAAATTGTGAGATAGGTGCAAAATTGCAGATATTGCTGTATCCAGCTCTTTTCACTTCAAGTAGGGTCATCCGGTCGGATTGGCATAAATTATTATGATGTATCTATATTTATAAAAACTTATATAGAGTTAGTAAGAGACAAGATGGATGGCCTTGACTGACATGAAATATCAGATGGATTAGCGATACCATTCAGTTGGTGTTAAACTCAGATTTATGTTCAGTTACTTTTCTCAATCTGAAATGTTTAGATATCAATAACCAAACCTTTCTAATTCTAGAAAAGCTCACACATATGGTATGATTTATAAGAATCCGCTGAGTTTTCCACCATTTTGGCAGTGGGCATCTGAGAACCGCAACTGGAGTGGTCAAAGTGGGCGGCCAGGATTGAAATGGCTTTTTTTTGCCAAAGATGTGATAGAGCTATAAATGTTACTAAGAACAAAACCTCCAGTAATAGAACCAACTAAACCAACCTACGAGGTTGAAATCACTGGAAAAACGGAAGCACAAAAACTTAATAGAGATATCAGAAAACAAAAAAAAAACAAGTCAGTTGGTAAAAATAACGTGTTAAAAAGCAGAGAGAAGAGTGTACTGTGCAACAATGTAACCTGGGATGACGCGGACGACAAAGTTAAAAGATACAAGTTCTAATGCCTGCGAGCAGAAGACAACGACATTTACAACCAAAAGAGACTAAGCCTCGATATTCAAACGTCAACGTCAAAAGAGTTATTGCAAATCGTGGAACCTTTATTCATAGACACAAGAGTTATAGCTTTTGAACGATACAATTGTATTTGCCGGGAGCGACGCAAAAACGAGACGCTGGAGCAATTCCACACGAATTCGGTAGAATTGGCTTCCTGGCCCGATTGTGGCGATCGATAGGCTGAATGGGTCCGCAATATGTTCACAGCTCACATGTCCAATGAGAAAAACGGAGAAGAGCTTCTGACAGAAACTAGATCCCCGCATGACACGTACGAATATGCAATCAGAGAGCAATTAAAACAAATCTGTTCGGAGTATCAGCAGCCTCAACCACAACAATTGAACAGAAACCGATGCTTTACATTCAACCACGGGGAAGAGGTGTCAACACCCAAACGGATACCAAAACAACCAAAGGGGCCGGGGAAATCTGCGAGGAGGGAACAGTTTTCCCTGGGCAAGTTACAAACCGCGTGGTCAACAAAATCAGCAGATGTGCCGAAACAATTCGTGTTATCAATGCGGCAGACAATTTGGACCAATTCAATTGCAGTCAAGCCCAGTAAAAGACATAATCTGCACAAAATTTGTTTAACGCGAACAATTTACAAAAGTTTGCAGATCAAAAAATGTCAACTACATGCAAGAAACTGACAAGAATCAGCTAGAAGATAAAGAGGAAGATTAGATTCCGTCGATGCCGAGGAGAATAACAATTCAGTGGCATATGTCAAAATCAGGCCACCAAACGGCTGGGATAAAATCCCACAGAACATTTTTTTTACCGTTTTGGCGATATCAGAAGCATTTGAAATACGGAACTCAAGAAGAAGACTAGTTTCACAATATGACCCTTTTAGTCCTCTTCTTATATGGTTATTTAAACAAAATAAAAAGACATTTTCGCAATAGTGGATTTAGGAAGCATAATGTCATTTCTTAATGAAAAAACTGCAAAAAGATTACGCCCAAACAATATTCAAACTCATGCCATCGGCGGAAAACGCTTGAATAATTGCCTGTTATGAAGGAAAGTCTATTGATCCAAAAGTACACCTGAGCATTGCGATGTTATCCGGAGGATGGACAACCTTATCGGCGCCATTCATCATTGTGGATGATCAAAAACAAATATCATCTGGCGAAACATTCTACCAAAAACTGGCATCAAACTCATAAAACACAAACCAGAACACAACCAGAGATCACACATAGATGAAAAAGAAGATAAATCAGACGTGGAAACAAAAACTGGGCTAAGGAGAACTCCAAACACCTCTGCGTGCGAATCGAAAAATCAAAAAACCACGTAATGCAAACTCAATTTATACAAGATATCAAACCAATCCAACAGAAAGGCCGAATAATGCCCATTGATCTACAAAAACGAGTGGAAGCGGAACTAAACAAACTGAAAGATCAAAAGCCCATCAAAAACTAGTCAAATTTTTATACCAGCAACTCATCAGCTCAATCGTCATGGCAGTCAAGAAGGGTCAGACGGTCAAACTCGCATTAGACCCCAACCAAACTTAGAAAAAGTCATATGCAAAAATAACTACTAAGTGCTCAAAAATGAACTGTTCTTGGATAACATTGCACAAATTATCAAAACGGACAAAAAACAGAAGAAGCTATTCTCGACACTCGATCTACGTTATGCGTATTCACAGTTTCCACTAGATATTGAAACAAAAAATAATTGCAATTTAGCTTGATAGGGTAAAAGCTACATGATTATATCGGTTCCAAACGAGGTATTATGGCCTCAAGGATCTGCCAGCTGAATTTGAAAAAGATATTGACCTTACATTAACAAATTGTGAAAACACGTTTGCCTATCTTAATAACATTTTGATTGTAAAAAAGGTTCTAAAGACAGGCACAAACAGTTATTACGTAAGGTGTTAAAGAAATTGAGTGAAAAAACTTTAGCAATTTTGCTGAATAACTGCAAATTCGCTTGTGAACATGTCGACTGGCGTGGCTTCAAGATAAGTAACGAAGGCACAATTCCATTAACACAAAAAAACTGAGGCAATTTTAAAACGCTCTGCCCCAAAAGCATTTAAACAACTTAAAAACTTGATGGAGTCGGTACGTCATCTCACCAGATACATTCCAAACATTGCGAAAACAGCATCCACACTGATTGCACTGCTGAAAAATTCAGACAAACATAAGAAATTAGATTGGAAGCCGGAATATACATCCGCATTTCATAACATTCTAAAACTCGTATCTGAAGTAACTGAGAATAAGCATTTCAATCAAAACCTAGCAACACGAGGAGTTTGTGTTGTACCTAGAGGTGGGAAAAAGACTGTTTTAGAGCAAAACATTGAGGAAGATTGGGTAGCAATCGCATTCGCCTCAAGGTGTTTAAATATATTAGAAGAGAAAAATTCAGTAAACGAGTTAGAACTATTAGGAGACGTATGGTCTATCAAACACTTCAAATACTATTATACGGGAAAAATTCACAGTGATTTCAGACCATTGAGCTTTAATCAGCGCACTAAAGGCCAGCGAACTATCAACGTTTAGCCAAAATAGGCTCACTAGTTGGATCGAAAATTTATTCCCCTTTACGTTTGACATGATACACTTGGCAGGAACAAAAACGGGACTAATCGACTATATGTCTAGAAATCTGGTAGGTTTAGCTTTACTCCCAAGTGAGTACAATGAAGAATTTGATGTGGCGTCAATTATCTCATTATTTTTCAATCTTGAATTGATTGACAACTTCATATTGAACACGCTAGCCAATCAGAATCGAGCCCCAGATCGGCTGATCAAAAAGCGCATGGAAAAAAAAGAAAGCAGAAGTTTAACTGAAATCTCAATTACACTTCAAACATTCCAAGCATAGCACAAGCGGTCATTCGATTCAGAACAAAAACAATCACTTGACCGGTTTCACTCAAAAAATCATCAAACAAAATCACTACAAAATCAGAGCTCTCAACGCCGGAAATCTTATCTCAAATTTTATCTCAATGCCGGAAATCAACCAGCAAATCAGTAGATGACGAAACGAAACGAAAGTCTGTCGGATCCGCGCTGGCATAGGAGAACATAAACGACCACACACGAGCGTTGGACGAAGCACTCTACGACAAAAAGCCCGCTACAAACAGTTTTACTGCTCGAGAACTTATCCCGAGTAGCAAATGTTTTCGGACAGTCAACCAACCCGAAAAGGAGACCACATAGAAGCTACCAATATATCAAAAAGTTTCAAAACACCCGCCCGAATGTAACAACAACACTGACAGACACTCCCGACAAGACCATCAGTCCGCCTAAAACAAAGGAGTCTCAAACTGAGTCAAACAAAAGGGAATCAGAAATCCAAACGTCAAAAACGACCAGCACAACACATTCCAATAAAATGCAATCACAAACAGAGCTCGCAGTAGGAGTACTGCGTCAGTAGAGTCGACCCCCAACATTTCGGTATCGAAGAAACTTCACCTAACGAGGTCCCGCCACCAATGTCCGGTACCTAACTAGAGGCTAGCCACGAAGTCATTGTGGCAAGTGTGGTAAGAACAATGGACAGAGCCAACGCAACTAAGGCAGAATACGACACACCACTCTACCAGAAGAAACTACAACAAGCTATGGTGGTCAAATTTATAGCCGCGATCATCCGCAGGGACAAAAACATCAAACCAATATTCAAACTAACTCCAATAGACGGAAATGACCCCCCAGATAAATTAGCTTCGGAGGTCGCCAAAATCATAGAAACAGTAAAAATAACTCCACAAGTAACCACAAAAATCTCTCCCTTCGACGCCCACATGAGCGTAAAGCTCAACATGTTATTATCCAACATAGCCACAACTAGCTCACCAATTAACCTAAGCTGGGAAAATACAAAACGCGCTTGCATGGATCAGAAAAACCTGATGTATCCTCCCCTCCAACCAGACATCAGGCACGACCTTCAATGCCAGTCTGAAGTGAAGTGAAGATAACACGACAACAAATGAATAATTTTCCAGAGCCATCATGTATGTACCAGAAGGACGGGGAATCCTCTACGAAAAATAACACATATGCGAGAACAAAATATTCACTAGCTAAGGAAAAGGAAGCCTTAAATCTGTGATATAAAGGAACACAAAAACCAGTGGATATCAACATCAAAAAAACACATACAACAGGTAGCTCGAAAAACAGTCCGCATCGCAAGAAAAGTTAAATAGCCTAAAACAACTGAACAAAAATACAAATTAATAGATATTAGAATACCAACCTATACACCGCACACAGCTTGGCTACAAACTAAGGGAAAACAACCTGGCTTACTGAGAAACAGTGGCTTCGAATTAGTATGAATCCAATATACGTATTCGTACCAAATCCATGCAGGCCCTCACGGCTTAGTAAATTTGTGGCATACAAATCAGCTTGGAGAACAGCGTCATGCTTACGTTTTTTTAGACATCCAACAACCAAATGCACCCTAGCGCGAAATGTTCTGGGAGGATGAGAAGACAGGACTACCAAAGAAGCTGTCCCGTAAGGAACAACAAGCGAAGAAAGACGCAGAAGCTGAGAAGAAGAGGAAGACAAAGCCACAAACTGGCAAAAAGACGAGCCTAGAACCCAACCACAGACAGGCCACAGGCATGACGCTCAAAGACCCGGACATAAAGGGAAAGGAAGCAGAGGCCTAGTCAACCGACAGATGGTCGTCCACGGCATCAGAAATTACGGCAACCTCCCTAAAACGACAGGACACCAGAACATCGCGGCCGCAGCCTACAACAAACACAGAACCAACAAGAAAATCGGCACGGACCCAACGCCACGCTAACTTCAGCGCTGGGAAACCCGCTCCCAATCAATACCATCGATTCTCTTCGAACTTTTCAATTGCGTCCCCAGAGAAACAAACCACGAGCACCTCAGGTAACACGAGCATCAGGTGCTTTATTCGCAAAATGGGTTTTGAAAAAGGTTCACCAGAATTCGTAGCGTGCATAAGTTCCTTGAAACAAAAAAACCAAAGAAAAAGGACAGCGACGCTATAAGCGTATTTGATTGAATCTCCCCTTCTGAAAGCCCAAAGAAAACCACATTAACCGGCGAAAAAATGAAAGAGGAAGCAAACACCACTTAGGAGCATAAAAAGATCAATAAGGAAGAAGAGGCGCAACAGCGCCACCGACAAAAACGAAGGACACAACTATTACTACAGCGCTCGCGGAGGCAGGGAAACACACGCAAGCAAACGACAAGGAACAGAATTGAGGAGAGGCAATAAAGTCAGCCCCACAGGGACTACAAAACTCAAATCCCAGTTGGACGATAAAACTCATAATTGGTTCCACTAGGACGGTAAAACCCTACTTCTTTCACGATGGGGAATGTCATCAATGTCATCCGGCCGGATTGCTAAGAATTATTATCTATCTATTATGTATCTATCTTTATATACAGTTAGTCAAAGACCAGATGGATGGCCTTGACTGATATGAAAAATCAGATGGCTGAGCGATACCGTTCAGTTGGTTTTAAATTCAGATTTAAGTTCAATTACTTTTCTCAATCAGAGTTACTTAGATATCAATAGCCAATCTGTTCGGATTCTAGAAAAGCTCATATATTACGGTATGACAGTAGGTCGAAACTCTGTGGAAATCCACAAAACGAAGTCCAGGTGCAATGTCTATGAAACTTGGACACAAACACACGAGCTTGAAAGAATGCTACTCGCAATCTGATGTTCAGTTTGAAAATTAGTTGAACCACGTTTAGTTTCTTATGACTCATAATTAAAAAGAGTATTTTCTGGAGAGATGCATGAATTGTATGCAGGCGATCAAACTGAGCTGCTAGATGTTGCCAATTTGAGCGGAGGCCAGCTGAAGCGAATCTCATTGGCCAGGACCAGCTACCACCAGGCGTCAGTCTACTTATTCGACGATCCCCTCGCTCACATGGATGCCCTCAGCTCCAAACACGTGTTCGAGAACCTCCTCTCAAACCAGAAGGGACTGCTGAGAGACAGGACTAGAGTGGTGGTCACCAATGACTTGAGGTTTCTGGACAAGTGCGACTCTGTCATATTTGTTGAAAAAGGGAACATTTTGAGCCACGGAAGCTACGAGCAGGTGACGAGGGAGGTTGGCGAGAGATTTCAGGTAGAGTTCAATTTATACTTCTGAAACTAACAAACTTCTTTCCAAAAAATAGCGACTTTGAATAACGAGTTCCATCAATAACTAACTGAGGTACATTCAGTAGCGGATAAGATGAGACTCTTTCCTGCTTCTATTTTACGGCACCAATTCCAAAACATTCCCAACATTTCTCTAAAACATTGCTTTTTTTAATAAAATTTGACTGCTTCACAGAATATTGTGACCAATAAAAAATTTGGGAGACCATAAAAATTTGGGAGAGCTCGGAACTTCAATATGTGCGACCTTTGTAAATTTCATAAAAATGGACAAAACTTTGAAGATTTTCGATTAAATTCTAGATCAGCACTGTTGGTTACAATTTCAATTCTTGGGAGCTCCTCCCCGAAAAACATATTTTGCAAATAAAACACGAAATGACAGGTTTACGTTGTACTATCCCCTAAGATCGTCTCATGCAATAAAACATTGGAGAATTTGGAAAAGGACGTTGATAAAAGTTAATTAACTTGTATTGGTTCAGGCGCTGGCGCGCAATCTGGAAGACCAAATAGATGGGGGAGGGGAGTTCCAGGGGGCCCATGCTATCTGGAGGGAACAGCTGGACGAGTACTTCAAACAGCCACTCCACATCGAACATCAGACAGGTAGGTTGTCTTTTTGGCTCCTACTCGGATTGAAGTCGCAGCTAGAGCTACTCCCTACTGTCCCAGCACCATAACGGCAGTACTTCGAAAAGCAGAACTGTAGCATTCAAAAACAGCAAACTCTGAAACATCGAGTTCATATTTCATGTTTCAGCTTTTAAACGTTTGAGTCTTATAAATTACTGTTATTTTACAAGAATTTGGCTGAAGCAGTGCTGATTTGCACTGCGGGAACATTCTGGCACAAACTAAACGATGATCGAAACCCTGATGCACTTTTTAAAAACCTCTCCTCGTTGTTCCTAGAATATATGCATACCTTTGAAGCACTTGTAAAGAACTCCAGTGCAAGGTCTTATCTAGACAACTATTGAACTAAGGCCAAAAGCATGTGTAGTTTTAAGACATTTAACTAGGCTAATCTAAGGTTAAAATAGAATTAAAACAAAGTTAAAATAAAAGGTGAATTAATCGTTTCACTCTTCAAAACAAAAACACTAAAGTGAGTAATGATGTTTAAAAGCTTCGCTTTTTTGACAGGTACCAATCACAATGTTATGACTATTGATAGCAACTACAGATTTTTATGTTGTGTTGCAGCAAGGCTATACAGTTAGCAAGACACCACTATACTTTACCGTAGTGCTCCAATGTCTAAACACATCCAAAACCGATGCTTCAAGTATAATAAAAAAAAATGAAGGAAAATTTTGTCCTAATTATTCCCATCAAGATCCGTTTTTGATGATTTTCCAGATAGAGATGCTCACTTCATGTTTCGACCGTCTCGGCTGAATTTCGTTATAATTCGACCAACTCAGCCAAAACTCGATATGCTTGAACCGTCTCGACCGTTCTTGTGGTAAGTTTCGACCATGCTAGAGGTCTGGTTCGACCGCGCTCATCCAAGTTTTGATATTTTTCGACTGTGCTCCCGGTGTCCTTCAACTGTGCTTGACCGACATTCTTCTGGTCGCGGTGTTTTTTGGCTGGTCAAGACCAAACTTCTATATGTGTCTAGGGTGCCCTACAATTTATTACCGTACAATTTAACACCGCACAATTTAACACCTTTTCATTTCACTACTAAACAATTTAAACCGACAACAATTTAACTCCTATTTTCCGATTCAACGCCGCACACTTTTATACTCTATCAGTATGAATTCCTGATCTTAACTCTTATCACATCAATGTTAATCCTGCAATTAACGTACGCGTCATAATGGAAAACTTGGTTGTTCTTATTTATACATGCTAAAATGAGGCTTCCAAAGTTACTTAAGAATCTTATCGACAAGTTTGTAATTTATTTTCAATCAGACTTTTCGCTAAACTGTTATGATTACTAAATGAACCTGTTTGTGCTAATTTATAATAATTTGACGTAAATCCTGACAGTAAGTTTATACTGTACTCAAAAGATAAACAAACGCAAACAAAATCAAAATAGGATTGAAACTTCTTTTCAATTCAAAATTTCATCTAAAGAACAAGCCAATTCTTATAGCGTCCGACCACGAAATTTAATTCAAGCGGAAAATTAAAATTACGAAAACTGGATTTGCTCAAAATATCAATTACATAAATGTCGTGCATTTGCCATAAAGACAATAACGAATTGGTCGACGCGCATGAAGAACATAACCATGACGTCTCAGCGAAAAATTCAGATGCTCGAAAAGTCATCAAGCATTTAAAAGATCTCAGTGCGGTTTCGCCATTTATAAATTATTCGGAACTCGGTTTGCTCTCCCAATTTAAGACAAACTGATTCGAACGTATGTGCGCACACATAGGCAGCCACCCAAATGCCACCCAACTCCGAAAAAATGCAGCCCACCTCCGCTGCGCAAAATTTCGAGATTCCTGAAAATTTTATCCGGTGTAACAGTGAATCAAATGATCACGAGCAAATCATTTTGTGCGGCGACCCTGAGATGCTGGGAAATCTGAGAAAATGATCTTTCTGATTAGGCGATGGAATTTTTAAAATACTCCAAAAATCGTCTAGCAGCTATATTCAATTCATGTTAGTGTATCTGGCATAGCACCAGCCTGCATAGACGCCTTGATTCCAATCAAAACCAAAAAAAAACACAATCCTTTTCTGCAGACGTTAATTGATTTAGCACCCGACTGCCCGCCTGAAAAAATTTTGTTAGACTTTGAGCAAGCTGCTTTATCGCGTTGTTTTTTCCACCTCTCCCGAAGACACATGAGAAAAATCAATGAATTGGGGCTGAAAATGACCTATGAATAGAATCACAATTTAGCTCTGTGCTTAAAAATTTATCGCTGAGTATAAAAATGCTGCCTTCCCTCGCACTTTGAAAAAAAAAGAAAAAAATTGGAGATTCATATAATAAGATATTTCAGAAAATTCAGAGTATATGCGATATAAACTGTTTATAGCCAGAAAAATCACAGAAAAACGGCATGTTGTGTCTGAACTTCGACTCTAATTATATTAAAAGCATGGTGCCAAACTGGGAAACTTCATTCCCACCCTCCCAGAACCAGCTAGATGCGGTTGTGTGTTGGATTGCTGGTACAACAAATGTTGTCGAAGGATGGCATTTCGTGATCCAATCCTATTTCAGCGGAGCCGACCCAAAAAAGTTGCAAATAGTGGGAAGCCTTCAAAAAGACACCTCCGAACAAAAAGTAGAAATTTTTTATGCATCGAGCAGCCATAAGATGACAAAAAGGAAAAAATACCGACTATTAAATGAAAGAGTACAAAACATAATGTCCATTTACAAGAAGAAATTGTTTTGTACTTTTTCAGAGTGGTATATTGTTTGTTTAAGGCCAGTTTAATTTTATCGTTTTTCTGTTTGTTCTTTCTTATTATTAAATCAATTCATAAATAAACTTTTTTCAGCTTTTTTTGAAAAATCGTTTCATTGGAGACTCCCGGAAACGTAACTAAACGCAAGTACTTGAATCGTGTACTAGCAATTCAATCCCAGGACAATCGCCCTTTTTTTCTGGCTGCTAGGTTGGGTCTAAGGGCTAGCAAAACTTTTAGCTTTCCGGTTATGTGCCAAAAACTCAAAAAACCTGCAACGCGATCAAGTTATAGGCTTAAGTTCGAGAATGATTCTAAACAAATTATTAATTTATAGGCTGTTGACGCTCGTTGAAACATTTTTGAAGTTTCTATACCGGCTGAAAATATCTGACAAATTAGGCCATATTAGTCAAAGGCCTTCTAATTATTTGCGGGCATTTGAAGTTCACTGAACTATTGTTTGTTTTTGTTTCATTCGGAATTAGTCATTTTGGTTCATTTTGAAAAGGTTCATTGAAAATATTGGCAACGCCATTTCATTTCGTTTTGGAACCATTCATTTAAATTATTGGCAAGGTCATTTCTGTTCAACAAATTTTACGCGAATTAAGTAGCGAAAAATTGTCTGTAAAACTTCTGTCGTTCAGTTCTTTGATAATTACCGAAGTCCCCTTTGAAGTAGACTTTTTCTCTTCATTTTGGATTAAAGTGGTGATAAGTTATAGAACTGGTTGTAAAATGTAGCGATGTTAAAATGCTGAGGCAACAAAAATGGGGATTGAAAATAAATGGCGTTAAATGTTTTGCGTTAAAAAGGAGGGAACTGTGTCTAACGTGGTCGTGGTTTGTTTCGAATGGTACTCGACCCAAACTCTTGTCTCGATTATTCGAACAAGCTCAGACATGTGCGCAATTTTCTAAGTAGAAACATAAAGTGACAACTTACTTAGTTTCTTAAACCTAATTTTTTAGCGCCTGTTCACCCTTATTTTGCCCCCTCCATCCAAAGCATATATACGAGGAGAGAGAGAGAGAGAGGCGGGGGGGGGGGGGGTTAAGACCGTGCATGTTCGCAATAGATGCAAATAGTGCATTAAAACTACGGTCGATACTTTACTGTATAAAAGGGCAGTTAGAGTTCCCCATTATAAAACTTATGGGTATCGCAAATGTACATGGTCAACACGTACTTAGTAGTTGCTGACTTGCTCATAGAGCACTGCTAAAGCATCGGAGTCCTACTCGTTTGTCCATGAACACTTTGGACAAGTGTTTTATAGCAAGGTTGGATCTGAAAGATTTTTGTTTGTTTTAATCAAAAACAGTTCCTTAATAGTCAATGAAACCGTAACACTTTATCAAATGACTTATTCTTAAGCTATGTAATTTCACTCATTTACACCGAATAGACTCAAAACAGAACCAAAAAGCCCGGGTTGACCTCAATACAAAAAAAAACAATGATCATACATTTCCGTAGATGAGTCTCACGGGGAAAAAAAGCTTTTCATACGATTTCTTTTCATGAAAACTGTTTGATAAGCTATTTTTCCACTGACTTTTTTAGAAATCTGTTCAAAAGGATTTTTAATTAAAATCAACTGAGCTAACATCGAGTTTTAACTGAAGGAGAACGCATATCAAACCTTCAAGTTTTTGCACAACAAATGTTCATCGTACAATTTCAAATCAAAAATGAACTATAAGCATTTTTTTATTAACAAAAATCCAAAACTAAAGAAAATTTTTTTAGTTTTCATTTTAGTCGGTAAACCAAATTTTTGACCAAAATTACGTTTTTCAAAAAAAAATTTGCATCCAAATTGTTTAAATTTTTGAATACATCGTAGTCCACGCTCACAGTTTTTTTTACACAAGAATCAAGAATCACATTTAAGTTTCTCTGTGATGGCAGAATTCATACTTTTCAGCTTAAGATAATTGCATACAACCTAAATCTGTCCAGAACACAGGCCATGATTTTCAAGCTATGATTTTTTCGAAACAAAAACTTCGTAGACATACAAAAAATAACATTTTTGTTATCAGTTTGTATGAAAATGAATTTTTCACTGACTTCGCATCTAGCAATACCTGAATTTATGTGCGAATCGAAGCACAAATACAAAACGAAACAAAATAAGTCAACGGAAAAAATGCTGGTCAAACAATTCCATTGTTTAAAAGAAGTCTACCATAAAGTTCCATAGTACGGAAAAATGCTTTACCGCCATTTTCACACATTTTTTTAAATTCTATGGAATTTAATGATAAATCTTTTTCTACATGGCATTAAATTGTCTTTTTTGCAGCCGTGAGAACAAATGTTGATCTGTTTTTGCAGAGAATGATGGGCTGGAGTTCCGCTACAAGAACAGGGAGTTGTTGATGAGGAAGTTGGAGGAGCAGAGAAACCAGATTACCCTTTTAACACAACAGAACAGACTGGACAGGAGGTCCTCCCAGAAGCTGCGGGAACCCATCATGCGACGCATGAGCGAAGTAAGTCTCATCACCCGGGTTGACCAAAACTTCTTATCATACAATTTCCATATATGAGAAACTTCTTGTCATACAATTTCATACAATTCCATACGTACAGAAAATTGTATGAAAACTCTATGATGAGCATTTTTCCATATATGAAAATTGTATGATAGGTGTTTTCCCATAAACGAAAAATTTTGATTTTTTTTTTCTAAATTTAGTTTCTGAAAAATTTTCGGTTGTAGTTCCAACCAAACACAAGTGACAAAGACCTTGGTTACTCAAAACACCAAAAGGTTGAACGGTCTTGCATTTACAATGCATAGAAAACGGCCTGAATTTGGCTGTCTTTCACAATTGATATAACAAAATTAACAAACTTTTATTTTTTGGCAAAATTTTTTAATGATGATTATAATAAATTTTTGAATTTTCAAATTATCAGACGTTGATCAAGGCGTACATTAACACCCCATACAAAAGAAAGAGGAATTTTCAGCGTTTTTGAAAAAAAAAATTAAGTGAAAAGAAAATAAAAGCCAATTTTATCGTATCTAGGACTACGTTATGCACACAAAATATTAAATTTTGCATGCAAAATTTTGTTTTCGAAAAATGTTTGTTTGCGTACGAAAATCGATTTGCGATTGAAAAAAAAAACCAAAAAAACTTTTGGGCTAAATTTTCAAAATTACTTGAAAAATTTTTTGTGTCGCCATCAAAAAAATGCCAGTCATACAATTTCCATATATGGGAATTGTATGATAAGCATTTTTTTCAAAAAAGGAAAACCTCAGTTTTTTATCACCAGATTGTTTTATTAGAATCATACAGCCACAGAAATGAGTTTATACCAGTTTTAGTTTCAACCATTTTTAGAAATTGTATGAAAATTGTATGACAAGCATTTTCCCTCACACTTGTTGTATGGAATTGTATGATAAGCATTTTCGGTGTATGGAGGTCAACCCGGGAGGCAACTCACAATCCACTCACTTCTCCTGCACTCATCCTCCTATTTTTATTCTGTAGAGAGCGATTTAGACAACTATATAATGGATAATGTGCTCCGACAAATGTAATTGAATCTAAGTGCCGAGAAAACCCAAACCTTTTTATGTGGGTATTCAGAATTATGGCTGACACAAGTGACTGCAATTTCAGAGATGCTGTCCGGACTCGCCTGTTGCTACGAACAAGCGGAGATCCAGTCGCAAGATCAGTACCAGTTCTCTAAATGCAATGTTAAATTCCAGCAACAACAATCTCAACAATATAAACAACAAAAACAACAACAACAACAACAACAACAACAACAACAACAACAACAGCTGCAACAAGTGCAACAATAATCTCAAGACTCCAGTCACCCCTTCACCCTCCATAAGACCCCATCAGAACAGGTAACTTGGATATCTTCAAATCCCGTAAGACAATATCATATATGACGCTTTCACAGATTTTTACTGTCTTTGTTCCGAGCATGAGCGAAAAAATTTTGTTTCCGTGTTTTTTATTTGAATTTTCTTTAACTTTTGCTTGCATGAAGCAACAAAATTCAACAAATAAACTTCAAAGTCGGCCGAATGATATACCCCAATAAAACTGTTAACCATCCGGATTATTATATAATTAATTACACAACTATCTGTAAATTAGCCATACTGAGTTATTTATGTGCATAATGATTTATAATCGGCCTTGGTGACCATCACAATTCGGTGACCTTAACGGCACTAAAAACACGTAGAAACTTCACTATAAGAGCTTAAACCTTGTCGCTTTTTTTGTCTATGAAGCAGTAACAAAAGATCTTAGATCACTTTCTTTCATTTCTTGAGATAAGAATTTACCAAATGGTAGCAGATTACTAGCCATTAATCACGGCCTAAAAATATGTTAAAACTGCCGAGTCATCAGGCAAGGATGAGAAGATTCTTCTAAACTTTCCGCCATTTTGGCACCGTCACACAACAGAGCCGCAAACGGCCATATTCGCCAAGGACAACATTGAAGTTCAAATATTACTGAGGAACCGACACACGACCACGATTACACCATCGACACCGATGTTAAAGGAGGTGAACGACGAAGAAACCAAAAATCAAGAACGAGACAGTGTATATTAATCAAGAGAAACGTATCAGACACGAAAAAGAGAGATAAAAGATAGACGCAATATGAGTCCTATGTGGTACAGTCCCGTGGGACGACGTAGATACGAAAAAAGAATTACACGTCTCAGAAAAGAGCAAACGTCCTTGTCACGAAAACGTCCTTGTCACGAAAAAAAAGTCGTGATTGAGCTTTACAAATTCATATGTCGTGTTCAAAAAACAATGAATGCCACTCAAAGCTCGAAGACCACAAAAAAACGCTTCAAAATACAAGTTAGTTGCTGAAATTACAAAAAACCGATATTTTGACCAAAACATTGAAAAAAAGATAGTTTGCTATGCAACAGCAGCACAACTAGTGGCGCCATTAGAACAATTTTTCTGAGAAGAGTCGCTATATATTTCATACGCATCAAGGTTTTTGACCTCACACGTAAAAGAAAACTCCACTGCTGAGTCGGAACTACTAGGGGCAGTGTGGTCGGTAGAACATTTCAAAAACTACGTCTAAGGAAAATTAAAGCATTCACGATAGTTAAAAATCAGCATACGCTTTCAGGTGCATTGAATGCATCCGATAAATCATAGTTGGTCTACCAAAGGTACAATCAAGGCTCACCAGATGCTTTGGTAGATTATTGCCATTCAACGTTGATATCAAACATTTGGCTGGATCAAAATGGGATTAGCTGACATTGAAATTAGTCAGCCCGGCGCTAACAGACTCCATTTAGGACGAGGAGTTTGTGGTTAATAAAATGACCGCTTTCTCTTCGAACATAGAAAACTCGGACACCATAGTGTTTAACAAACTGGCCAATAGGAAACGAGCACCAAAGAAACTGATTGAGATGCAAAACATAGCAGTATTTTTTTGGATTTTGTGTGGAAAGGTCTAGTTTTTTCGCAAATATTTCGGCACATGTTATTTAATTGGTGATTTTTACGTGTAGATTGTTTCATGAAGGTATTGTATTTTTACATGATGGTAAATCAATAGTAATATGTGGAAAAACTTGGAAGTTTTATCAAAAAAATTGAAAAGTTTTTCAAAAACTTCAAAACACGATGAGATTTGATACAATTTGACTCAATTACTATTTTATTAGATGATCTTACTTTTCAAAACAGCACTCAATTTAGCTGAAACTAAGTTTTTGGAAAAAGTTGCTAATTTTCAATTTTTGGGAAAAAAGTGCAGAAATCTCAGGTTTTGGCTAGTTTTTTGTTGCTTCTGATCTAATTGTAAAATATCATTGTGATATTACGTGCAGAGTTTATAATTATACTTAAGTTATACTCTACAAGGTAAGCTCATTTTAGCTGAATCAAATTTCAAACTTCCTATTTTTCGGGAAAAAGTGTAATTAATTAAAATTTCGAGAAAAAAAAAGAAAAAATTAATCAAATTTATCCAAAACTATCCATTTTTAACCTTTAAGTTGTGTAATTAACTGGGTTTTTGTCCAGTTTAGGAATAAATCACTTAGTAATTTCAATTCAAATGCACAATAACAACAATTTTTATTGAAATTTCTAGATCAAACTCCATGATTCAACTCCTCCTCAGTTTTTTCTCAATGGTTAACCCAAACTTGTACAAAAATTACAACTTCTGAGACGTTTCTCACGTTATTATTAATAATTAGTTTCGGATCACTGGTAAAAATTGATCAATTTACTGCTAAAATTGACTCAAAATGAGGTAAATTTTTTCTTAAACGTATATAAGACTGGATGAAATTGAACAAAATTTAATTCAAAATTGTTGACTATCTTTCTGTTGCTTCTACAAGCTAATTTTCAAAGTTTTTCCGTAGAATGTTATTTTGTTTTTCGTGGTTCCTGCTGATAACTCAGTTTGCAAGAAAATTGAGGGAAAATTCGGGAACTTAGGAGGAAAATAGCATCAAATAAACGAGCAATTTGCTGGCAGAGATAAAATTAGAACTGATAATGTCTAATTATTACTATGTAATTCTTACATGTTCTCCTTTAGATTCCCTTGTTCAGTTACTACATTAAACAATTTAAGCAAAAGTACACGTTTGCGATCTTAAACTATCACTTTTCTTGCAAAATAGTTATTGATTCGCTTTTTATTCTTGGTATCTGTCGGAAGTTTTCTCAAAATTTTCTAAGTGAGAAAGAATTGGAGCTAGTTAAAGCATTCAAAATACATTTAAAATTAGGGAAAAAAAGCAGTATTTTCAAAGGTTAGCAAAATAATTTTTTTTATCTTTTCTAAATCTACTATTAATTTTTTTTCTGAAATTGTCAAAAAAAACAGTAGAAAAACTAAAATTCTAAGTTATAACAAAAACCCTTCATTCAGGATCAAAGCCAATTTTATAAAGATTCCAAATATCAATCATTTGTGAAAATTTGTTGAAGTTTTGCTTTTTAGTTCAATTTGGATCAATCAAAGCAAGCGAGTAGAGCAAAAGTAAGAAAAAACCTGGACAGCTGAAAATTTCAGTGGTGGTTGACAGACATAACGCTGAAGTCCTTTCAATTTCTATCCGCTCGAGAAATTATAAATCCAAAAAACGTTTTCTGTATCGAGAACAAAAGTTTTCTATTTTCAGCTTAATTTGCTGAAATTAGATCGAGTAGAGCCAGCTGAGTGCCGAGCAAAAATTCAAAAGTGTAGGTAGCAAAAAACGTCAGATGGAGTTCAAGAAAAGTTAGTATAAAAGCACTTTCATTCGTTATTCGGTCAACAATTAAAAAATTTTACATCAAAATATGGGTCGAGAAAAACTTGTTTAAAAAATTTTGCTTTTCGGTCCAATTTGGATTGAGTGAAGCTACCGAGAAGGGCTAGAATCTCAAAATCAATTTGACCGATTAAGTTTTTTTTGAAGTTTTGAACATTCAAATTTTGCAAAAGCGAAGTCGTGTATTGGAAAAACCTTACCCAGAGGCGTAGCTGCTCTTCGAGTTTGCACGCAAAAATTTGACCGATAACGCTACTGGGAAAAACTGAATGAGAAAAACGTTGAGTTTACATAATTTCTCAAGTAACACACGCCAATTATGAGTCTACGTAATTGCCAAAAAACGCAAGCCAAATATGATGCATTAGCAGTAAATACCAGTCAACTAAAAAATACGAAACTTATCAACTAGCATACCTCAACTTATTGAGGGGACGCATTTCAACTAGATGACAAAATGCAATAAAAACATCCGACCCTGGCCAGGTTCGAACCCTCTTGATTTGTTGCAGGTCTCCTTGTCTACCTCTACTTTACAGAACCATGATACCTTGAAGCTAAAGCTCTATTTGTAATATATTAGACTGGGTTAATATCTTTAACATTGGCTGCACTTAATAGCTGGTTATTGATCTGCAAAAAAAGGTTATGCATATACTGCAATAAAAAACACTTTCATTATGAACACTAATATCTGCAATTTAGATTAAAAAACAAAAGAGAGTTCATACTATCACACAATTTTTGCTGGTAGACATGGGTGTGGTTGATAAAAAATAAAATCTCAAGGTGGGACCAGCTATGTACAAAAAAGGTTGTCATCTCTCTCACCACGGAAGGGGGACGGAAGGGGGACTAAACTTAGAGCGGGGAAGTGGGGCCGCGGGCTAAATAAAAACCCTTTTCATGGTGAATATGATCTGGACAGAGAGCTTAATAACGAGCAAAACAAACAAAATGAAGACATTTTGCATTTTGACAGGTAGTTGAACAAATTCGGTGGTAAACGAAAAATTGTTTCAAAGGTTGCTTGCCATCATGAGTTAGGACCGAAGTGTATAACTCATAGAGTAATTTCGGATAGGGTACACCGTCTGCTCGTCACGCTATCTTATTTTCGGCCGGATAGATTCGTGCAACTTCTTAGTCTAATACCAATCCTAATCTTACTCTTATACTATCTAGTCTCAGGTTGTTTAACTAGTCTCTGCTAGGCTCAATAGATCTAGGGTATACTGGTTTATTGCGGTTGCTGAAGTCTTCTTGGAGAGTCAACTAATTTCTAAGTTAAATTCAAATCTCTCTGGTGCTGAAATTACAAGTAATTTCAGCACTTACAAATAAGTGGATTGTTAGTCAGATGGATCATGATTGGTTAATATTAATAACTTTACATTGGTAAAATATCTAATTTATCCAATCATAAAATGTAGTTTAGATCAGGTTCCACCCATCCGGGTTTTGCAGAGTTTTTTAGAATAGTCTTTCTGTAATTCAAAGGATGGATGATGGACGTTGGTGTTTGGCGAACATCATATTTCTTCTGGGTTCTCTTGTTAGAGAAGT